TTTCTCAGGGAAGGCAGTGACTCAGTGGTCTGCCGAAAATGATCACTATTTGGGTCAAAGCCTGAATAGTAACAAATTGTGGTGTATGCAATAGGTTTGGATGAAAACAAAATTCTCTTGTATAGTACTTGAAGTCCAAAAGATAAGGATTTAAAAAAAAACAAAAACAAAAAAGGGGCACTTTTCTGGGGCAGGGTGGGTGGGAGAGAACCTTCAAAAGAATAGCTCTCAGGGCGCCTGGGTGGCTCAGTCGGAAAGCGCCCGAATCCTGATTTTGGCTCAGGTCATGATCTCACTGTTCATGGGATTGAGCCCCACGTCGGGCTCTGTGCTGACAGCACGGAGCCTGCTTGGGATCGTCTTTCTCTCTCTCTCAAAATAAATAAGTAAACATAAAAAAAAAAAAAGAATAGCTCCCACTGGGTTCATATATTTCACCTGCTGTGCTGTTGTGACGGCCACATTTGAAGGATGAAGCTGGGCCCAGGGTCCTGGGTCTAAGATGTAGCTGCCTGCTTCCCGCCCTTTCCCAGGGATCCTTGTGCTATATCTCAAGTCAAGGCAGCTCCCAGAGCCAGAGACCCTGGTCTTCTGCCTGGAGAGTTTTCCTAACTTCCTGGGAAGGACCACTGGCTCTCCAGGGAGAGCCGAGTTTCCTAGCTCTGCTGCCCGTTGATTCAGGCAGTCTGGCGCCACACAGTGCCATGTGTCGTGGTAGGCGTGACGCTGCCACGACACAGAGCCCAGGCCCTGTGCAGAGTGAGCGGCTGTCACCATCAGAAAGGCGCAGGGCAGCAGGACGCAGCCGGTGCACAGAGTCTGGACAAGCCACATCAACCCCCAGGGGAGCAGGTGCATCCCCTGGGTGGTGTCTGCCCTTCTTGTCCCAAGAGGGATGGTCTGAAGCTTGAAAGGCAATCGACATGGAAGCAACACTCTGTGCGCCACAATTCAGAGTCTGTAATAAAAAAGTACAGTAATTCTAACTCTTCAGATTGGCCACGCTCTGCCACTCTCCCATATAAAAATAACCTTGCTCCGTGCCCTGTTGCTGGCTTTCACACACCCTGTGTGAGAGTAACGTCCCTGAGACCCAGCGCTCACTCCCAGTTATGGTCAAATCCCACCCACGTTTCCTCTGGCCTCCTTCCCCTGACAGGGGCAGCTGGGCTGTCTCACAGGCTGAGCTCATCAGCTGTCACCAGCAGGCTGAAGCCGGGTCTCGCCAGGCCAGAGTGTGGATGTTTGACCTCTGAGAAAACATCCAAGAGCTGTATAGGAAGAGACGATGCGGACTTGAAGTCCGTCTACTCAGCATAAGACTCTCCTCGCGGTTACTTTCCAAAGACCGAGATTGAGCTATCAAGTGAGACAGAGATAGAGCACAGATACTACATTATATCTGGTTAAATTCTTAGTTTTCAGGAAGCAGCAATAGAATGTTAAATAGACCTTTCCCCTGTAATAAATGTTCATCGTGAAGATGCTTGTTAAGGAGTTGGTTCTCAAAATGTGTAAATGCACACAAACACATTTGGTCCCACTGAAAGGAATTTTGCCTGAGTAAGGGCTGTGGAATTACTTTGGGGGTCAACTTCCTGCCCCGTGGAATGCAGTGGGAATGTTCCCACAGTGGGAGGGGGCCTGTCCCGGGGCCGTCCAGGGAGAAGGCATCTGCAGAGCTTATAGGCAGACAGGACTGTGTCTCAAGATGCTATCAGCATCTCCAACAGCCAAAGGCCACTGAGGCCTGAGCATGCCCCAGTGTGTGTGTGTGTGTGTGTGTGTGTGTGTGAATATAGCAAGGCAGTATTAGACCTTTCACATGGGGGAGGAAATCCAAACTCCTATGAACTCAATCTTATAATATTCCCATCGAGAGGATGCATACTGAGAGAAAAGCTCATACTTTGAAACTTCTTCAAGAAGGCTGCTTCTCATCCTCATGAGATGCAGGGAAACTTGGCCACCAGCTAACAAAGCTTGGCTTTGACCGTATTTATCTGTTCAGGCTGTGAGCTCTAGACCGTCCAGACCTTTTATCCACCACTATATACTAGTATCTAGAACAGAGTGGGCGGCATAGATGGGGTTCGGTGGGTTTCTTGGATTAATACGCATGAAGAGGAATTTGACCCTGAACCCTTTGAAAGCTTCATGGGACTCTTTGGAATCAAAGCCAATCATAACTTATCCACTCACTCACCCAGTCCGATGAGTGGGGTTATAAAGATGAAGAGGATGTGGCCGCAGCGCCCGGAAGCTTACATTCTGGTAGGGAAACAGCAAGTGCACAGCATGGGGGTGTAGAAGGGCTGGTAGATTTAAGAAACTATAAGTATTTTGATGCGTTCGGAGCACTTGCAAGAACAGCAGGAGATAGAGGTGAAGAGACAGGCAAGGTTGGGCACAAAGGACCCAAGGGCGTGGGTTTTTATCCTGACAGCTGTGGGGAGCAGAGGTGGCAGTGATGAAATTTAGACAGAGGCGAGATCACGCTGGCCTGAGTGGATGAGAACCTGGGGGCGGGGGCGGGGAGTCAGGGCTGGTCTGGAAGCTACTGCTGTGGTCCAGCTGACAGCTGGCGGGGCCTCGATGTAGGCGGTGATGGCGGGGCAAGACGGGAGGTGGCCGCTTCCTGCGCCACGGGGGGAGAGCTGCAGGACTTTGTGTTGGCCTGGATGGGAGAGAGTGTGGATTTCCCCTCTGACCCAGGTGTGCCGCGCAGGGGCTGTGGCTTGCAGGCAGCGCATGCGCTCGGGGGCCGGGCAGGTCGGGGAGAAAGGGAAGTGGCTCGAGTTTCCAGCTCGTGTGTTTGCTGTTCCCCAGAGACATTTCAGCGGCTCCAACTGCCTGAATGCGGCACGTGGTTTAAACCCCGCGCACCCACCTCTGTGGTCTGGTCCTGTCCTATTCTTGCCTTCTACTGCTATCTCTGCCTCTCTGTCCCGGGTCTGGGTCTTCACTCATGCTGTCCTCTCTGCCTTTGTGCCCTCCCCCGCCTCACCTCCAAAGGCCACCATCCATTTCAATGTCACCTCTTCCAAAAAGCATTAGATTTCCCCTACCTTGATCCCCTTATTTCATGTCTTTGTATCTGCCCTGAGTCTCGGTTTGGTTATGTGATGAGCCCCCGGAGAGTGACAACCTTCTCTTGCTCACCTTCCGATCTCCTCAGGACTGAACGCCACCTGGGGTAGGATTTGGCACCTTCTTGTTGAATTGAAGCAAAGAGCCCACAAGATGAAGCATTTACCTAGGAACCACGGATATGGTTGCTACCGACTCTGTAGGGTGGTTGTAAGGGTGTGGCATGTAGTAACTGCTCAATAAATGATACTGTTCATTGGGGCGCCCGGGTGGCTCAGTCGGCTAAGACTTTTGGTTGGAGCTCGGGTCATACGATCTAGTGGTTTGTGAGTTTGAGCCCCACATCAGGCTCAGTGCTGACAGCACGGAGCCTGCTTGGGATTCTCTCTCTCCCTGTCTCTGCCCCTCTCCCACTCGCACTGTCTCTTTGGCTCTCAAAATACATAAACTTAAAAAAATGATGCCAAGCACATCATTTTTTTTTTAAAAGAATAAATTGTTTGCTTTTTCCTAGCTTAATACTAAGCCTCTGCCTCCTCATAATGAGATTGAAGGATAAGGCAGTTCTTTAAAATTCATGGGAAATTGTCCCCTGGAATCGATAAGTAGGGGCCCACTGTTGTGGCTCCCTGGGGCTTTCCTTTCTTTACAAATCCCAAAGATCGTCCTCTCTGGAGGCTTCTTGAACACGTTGGGTCTTTTCTGGTGGTGGAGGACCTTCTCAGCTCTAGATTTCTGCATGATTCCGGGAAATGAGGTGAGTGGGAAGAACCCCCTTCTCACTGCGGCCCCTGGAGGCTGGCCTCTGCTGCGAAGGTCAGAAAGGGAGCCAGAAGCCAGAAGCAGGAGGTGAAAAGTTTGGCCTGGCTGTTCCAAAAGGAGCGAGCAGGCAGTGGTGATGGTCCTTGAGTTTTATTTTTATTTTTAAAATCAAAGTAGGAGAGTTCTGTGAGTCCCAAAGGAGCCCTTTTGTGTCATTTTTATTATTAGTTTTTTTCTTTAGAATTTCCTCTAAAACTCATTAGGGAGATTTCACATATTCCAGATTTAGCACTTTAATGGGCTTTTGTTCCTGCCTTAATTTTTTTTTTTTTTTCCTTTTTAAAAATTGCTCTTCAGGGAGGCGCCCGGGTGGCTCAGTCGGTTGAGCGTCCAACTTCGGCTCAGGTCATGATCTCACAGCTCATGAGTTCGAGCCCCGCGTCGGGCTCCGTGCTGACAGCTCAGAGCCTGGAGCCTGCTTCCAATTCTGTGCCTCCCTCTCTCTTCTGTGTCTCTCCTGTCTGCACTCTCTCTCTCTCTCCCAAAAATAAAATAAACATTAAAAAATTTTTTTTTAATTTCTCTTCAGATTTTTTTTTAAATGTTTTATTTATTTCTAGGAGAGAGAGAGAGACAGCGTGAGCAGGGGAGGGTCAGAGAGAGAGGGAGACACAGACTGAAACAGGCTCCAGGCTCTGAGCTGGCAGTCAGCACAGAGCCCGACGCGGGGCTCGAACCCACAAACCGTGAGATCATGACCTAAGCGAAAGTCGGACACTTAACCGACTAAGCCACCCAGGCGCCCCTCTCTTCAGATTTTTAAGTAGCTGTTTCTGGGGTTACGAAGTTTGCAGACTCAGCCGCAGGATTTCTGAAAAGCCTTTTAATGTGCTCGCTTCTGCAGCACGTATGCTAAAAATGAAAAGCCCTTTAATTTCTACGTGAGTTTAGGATGAGAAAATAGCATGTGCCCTGCTGGACTCAAAACGCGAGGGAGGACTTGGCCCAGAGAGAGACCAGCCATGGTGCCGGCAGGGGGCATGGACCACGACGAACCAGTTAGAGGCACTGGACCTGTTTTATCAAGTCACAAAGACCCTCAGTTTGATGGTGCCTTTTGAGGACCGTCTCGTTTTTTCTCTCCCCAGGAACCTCGGACAAGTCTAATCTGGAGCTAATCACCCTGACGTGTACCTGTGTGGCTGCCACCCTCTTCTGGCTCCTGTTAACGCTCTTTATCCGAAAACTGAAAAGGGTAAGAACATTTCATACGACATTCTACGCTCCTTATTACGGAATATTCTAAAACGCTCATCTCACAGCTAGAGCGGGTGCTAAGCGTACGTTTGACTCTAGTCTCCTTCCCTCATGTTTCCATCTGTGACCTGATGGACACCCCAAAACGAGTCATTAAAATGAATCAATTAAAATGTCATAAAATCCAAAAAATTTATCATTAAAATGATAAATATCTGTAGCATTCAGAGAAAAAGCTTGAGCCATGAATAGATGACTGTTTCCCAGCAATAGGCGGGATGTTTTGGGTATAAAAATACGTAATAAAATCTTTCAGTTCAGCACGAGACCTGGGAAGTCTTTATTTTCTTATTCTCTGCTAAGAGATGAAAAGGAGAATGCGAAATAGTCTCCTCTGACCTGCCTCTCATAACGTTATAGAAATACCAACAAGCGCACGGCGGTCCCGCGCTCTCTGAGCCCCGCGTACAACTCAGTTCTTCAGTGGGAGGGTCGGGCTGAACGCAGGACATCAGATTTCTGTAATTAGGCCTGCGACACCACGTGTTTCTCGCAAGTTCCAGGGGCCCGGGAGCCAACACTCATTCATCCGTCTGTGCCTCAAGTATTAACTGGAGAGGAGACTGGCTTTGCTCCATTACACAGACCAGTGTGAAGCTGCCGCCGGAGGCAGTGGACCGAAAGATGTGTGAGGGGCTGGTTGGGCAGAGGAAGGGGGGGAAAGTGTTGCAGGCGGATGGAAGAGCCTGTGCCAGGCTGGGGCAGGGCAGAGACACCGGGAAGGAGAGACTGATGGAGGCCCGCGTGGCTGCAGTAGAAGTGAGGCCGGAGAGGAGAGGCTGGAAAGTGGGGTGAGACCGTGAGAAAGGTAGGCTGTGTTCTGGAAGTAAAAGGAAGCCTGGAGGCATGCGGGGCGGGGAGGGGTGTTGGTCAGTGTAAGAGATTTGTGTCTGGAAAGAGAATTTTGGCTGCTGTGAGAACAGACCAGAGGAGGCAGGGGCGAGTAGAGAGGAACTTTAGCAGAAGACTTTATAGGAATTAAGAAATGATACTAGCGTAGTCCAAGTGATTAGAATCCAGAGATGTTTCGCAGGTAAAATCAACAGCACTTGAAAAGTATCAAGGACGCCTCTCCCATTTCTAGAGATTTAGTAGCCCTCACGTGTCATATCTGAGGAGGACGAGCTTTTTTATGTAGTGTCTCCATTAATCTTTCCACAAAAATGCAAAGAGGTAGATCTGTTATTATCCCCACTTTATAGAGAAAGTGAGCCTCGGAGAGGTAAAATAACTTGTCCAAAGTCACAAAGCTGGTTAGAGTTGGAGCTGCGTTTTGATCTTACGTAGACTCGTAACCAGCACCAACAAGGTGTCCTTTATAATCGTTGAAATGAGAGGAAGAATAGGAGGCACCCCCTGTGGTGAGTACGTATCATCAGGCGTCCACTGCACGGGATGATCGGCTTTGAGATGCGACAGCTAAGGCCACTGCTTTAGAAGGAAACGGAGGCCACACAGTGGCCTTTTGAAAGGAGAGAGACATCATATAGGGAAATAGATCAGACCCACCAAATCTAGAAGGCAGTTCGGAGGCCTGCAAAGAGGGATGGGGAGAAAAATCTTCAGAGAAAATGAAGTTTAGAGAAAGAGTTTGAAGGTTGTGGCTGAAAGGAAAGCAGCAGAAAAATGCAGCCTACCGCACTCCACCCCCCCCCCACGCCCCAGGTTAGGGGACAAGCACAGAGGAGCATAGTGGAAATAAAACCGAAAGGTGACTTGGGACTATATTGAAGACGGCCCTAGTCTTTCTAAAAACCTGAAATCTTGAGGTCAGTAAGAAAGGATGAGAGCAAGAAAGGCTTCTCTCCAGAAGAGAATGCTTAGAAAATTCGAAAGGTGATTAATTGTAGGAGGCAAGGAGATACACATCCTCAGAAACGATTTCCCTGTGGTTTCTCTAAACCACAAGTGGATTCCTCGTTGATACGGCTGGACATGATCTTTTTAATCCTCTCCCTGCATGAGGCCAGTGTTCTAATCATGGCTAATGGTGATGGACGCTTACTGTATACCAGACCTTGCTCTCACAGCTTGACATGGATTATTTCACGAAATATTCACAACAGCCCTAGGAGATAAGCACTGTCATTATCGCTGTTGCACAGATAAGGAAACTAGGTTTAGAAAGGTTAAGCGACTTGCCAAGGTTACGTGCTGGTCCAGAGTCCATCTGTGACTCAGATCCGGGCCGTCAGCCTCGATGCCTGGCCTCTGAAAGTGCTTAGCTGTGCAGCTTCCGTGCCAAACACCTAGTAGCTGCTCAGTGTTAATGTCGAGCGAAAGAATAAATATTTGTCAATGAAGATTCTGCGATCCTACTCTCCTCAAAGCCCTGACTTGGGGCTTGTGTGGTGTTCCTTCTCACCTGCCTTATTGAGATAAACCATCAAATTCCATCGGTGCCACATGGCGAGATTGTCTCTCATTGCCCCTCTCTCAACCTCTGCCGAGCTCCTCACACGTTCTCCGGAAACTGAGATGGCCCTTGTTGGGTTTCCGCTATCCTGTGCCCTTAGAAGATTGGAGATTGTTTTTTGTTGGATTGTTTCAATTGGACAGGGAAAAGCGGACTCATAAAACCTATGCCAGGGGCACCTGGGTGGCTCAGTTGGTTAAGCGTCCAACTTCAACTCAGGTCATGATCTCACAATTTGTGGGTTCGAGCCCCTCATCGGGCTCTGGGCTGACAGCTCAGAGCCTGGAACCTGCTTCAGATTCTGTCTGTCTGTCTGTCTCTCTCTCTGCCCCTCCCCCGCTCATGCTCTGTCCCTCAAAAAAAAAAAAAAAAAAGACCTATTCCAGTGGCTTCCCCAGCACACACCCGGCACCCTGGGATAGGAATTTGTATTCCTTTCCAAAGCTTACAGACTCACACGAGTGTCAGACAGGCTGGCCTGTACCAGACTGGCACCGGCGGCAAATGTAGCTCGTGACAAATGTGCCCCACATCTTTCTCTGTTTTCCACTCGTTGTGGAGGCCAGGCCAGTCTTTCTGCTTTGAGCTATTTGTCACATTTTGGTGATAATTCCTGTGCGTAGGAGACCGATTGCAAGTGATGGATGAGGTGAGCTGTGACAGCCCGGAGCAGGGTGAGTAAGAGCTGGAGAGTGTGGGCAAGCGTGACATGACGTGTGTGGAGAGGGTGTCTTCTCTCCTGAACGCCGGTCCTGCTTAGGGAAGGGCCACGCCAGACGGGCCCGAAACTCACTGAAATGAAGTTTATTTAACTCCTAGGCAGGACGTATCAAAACGCACCTTATGTGGGCCATCCTTTCTGTCCTGCCCACAGAGATGCCATCATCAGTTCTACATCGACTGAACGGGAAACACACCTGTTCATGCTATGAATCTAAGACACTAAATGCAAATCCACGCATCTGTGATCTGAAATAAAGGATATTTTCTGGGCTCCATGTGACTTACCAAGATAAACTAAGCACCTGCAGGTAGATGCCCGCTTTATTTGCCAACCTACTGATGGCCAAGTGAGCTCAGGACATAGCTGTGTTTGAGTCTCATACCCTGTTGAGTCCTTAGCCATTGAAATAATCAACTTCTATTTTTTTAATGTTTTATTTATTTCTGAGAGAGAGAGAGAGAGATAGCGTGAGCAGGGGAGAGTCCAAGAGAAAGGGAGATACAGAATCTGAAGCAGGCTCCAGGCTCTGAGCTGTCAGCACAGAGCCCGACGCGGGGCTCGAACCCACAAACCGTGTGATCATGACCTGAGCCGAAGTCGGACGCTTAACCGACTGAGCCACCCAGGCGCCCTCAACTTCTGTTTCTTACTGGAGGTAAATCTTATCCTGTGCTCACTCATGGATCCTATACTTTTTCCAGGCAGCTGCAGCAGCCAAGGGGCCAGGACTTCTGAGCATATTTAAACACTTCACATGAAACACGCCTCTGCACTGTCCCAGGGCTCTTGGGTCCCCTTTGCCACCTCTGGCCTCCCTTGCAAATACTGAAATGCCGCAGCCCCACTTTCCGTCGTCAGCCTACCTTGCGACGCACGCTCCTGCTTGTACAGAATGGTCGTGGAAAGTTATTGTCAGTTGCTCAGGATGATTTTATAAAGATGCTTTGTGTTTTGTGGAGAAGGACCATCATACGATACTGGTCGAAGGACAGGCACCGAGGTTGCGAGAGAACCTGGGCGCGTGTTACCCGGGGCAGTATGGCGAAGCCAGGCGTTGGGAGAGCGGCGTGAGAACAGGAAGGCTTGTCGAATGGGAGCTGCACACCCCAGGTGTTGCACATGTGTGTACGCAGAGGGCTCCTTTCTGTCCCCAACTGCACGCTTTCAACCACATGAACCGAAATAGCAGCGGAGGCTGCCAGGGATTGTTTTAAACTGGGCATCCGGGGTTGTTGTTGTTGTTTTAAGTTGTTTCCTTGACGGTGACGCTGTGGTCTCTTTCTTTCTCAGTCTTCCTCTGAAATAAAGACTGACTACCTGTCGATTATAATGGACCCGGACGAAGTCCCCCTGGATGAGCAGTGCGAGCGGCTCCCTTACGACGCCAGCAAGTGGGAGTTCGCCCGGGAGAGACTCAAACTGGGTAACGTGCTTTTGCTCAACAGATTCCTAAATGTGCCAGCCACGTGGTTGGAGGGCTGCAAAAGCCGACTGGCCTCGGGTTTGACCCTCCAGCTGCTCACAAACCAGCAAGGGAGACGGGCACTGGGGTAAATAATCCTAACGGTGCTGGGACAGCAGTACAAGGGGACAGGGCCCCTGCTCCTCCTCTCAACAGTTTCCGGCACCTTCTCTAGACATCAGACACCCATCTAAGCCACGGGGATGCAAAGGGGTCTGAGTGTCTTCTCTCAAAGGGTGAAGGGGGTAGCCACCAAAGGAGATGGGTCAAGGGCAGAGAGGAGTTCCCTCAGGAAGCTGACAAGTACAGGCACTTTTAATGACGTTTTGGAGGAGTTAGGAATTCGTCACCTAGAACCCAGTTCAAGATGGCAAAGAACAGCACAACCAAACCTTTGGTGAAAGCACCGGTACCCTCGAAGGCTGTGGACCACGAATCCCCTCTGCACGGATCCACAGACGATGTACTCTGAGTTGTCCTGGGAATTCAGAATGCCCAGACAGAGAAGACAGTGCTAGGGGTCATCAGCGTCTCCGTTTTGGAGACCAAGGCTGGTGTTTCCCAGGTAATATAGATGCTACAAATGTCTGGTGAACGTGCTTTCCCTCCGCGTGCCCCCGACCTTCCCCCCCCAGCTCAGACAGCACCATGCCAGTCGATCTCCAGCCCTCGGTAGTATAAAACAAAAGGAGTCTCAATTACTCTTGCCCAAAAGTTTTGGATTGTGGCTCCTGAAAATTTTCCACTCAGTCTGTGTATGCCAGAATCATTAATAGTTGGAACTAGGAACCGATCTCCTGGACCCAGTGTTCCTGGATCTTGTCACTCTCGACAGAAGAGCCTGCTGTTCCAAATCCGACTGCATTGCCTCCCATCTCCCAACAGGCAGACTGTATTGGAGTGGGAGTCTGGGGTTGGGGTGGGGCGGACAGAGAGCGAGAAGTGGACCTTCTCGTTGCTGTCTCGGGCCTTGAAATGATTCCACTTATGTTTCTTCTTACACGAGAAAGAGTACTTGGCCCCAAGAGTATGTTCTGTTTGGCTTGGGGAAGAAAATTGGAAATTAGTAAAAAGCTGGAGAGACAGGCAAAAGCCAGTAATGGCTGCTGACAGGGGCGGGGGGGTGGGTGGGAGGAATCAACTAAATTTAGAGTCGTTAAGGGCAGGTGGTATACTAGATGAGTTCCTTCTGCAAGTCTAAATTATATGGCAGCTAGCCCAGCCCCTCCGTGACCTTGGCAAGGAACTGAGATAATTTTCCCACAACCGTAAGCCATTCTCAGGCCACGTTGCTTTCCAGAGTTATTAGTCACCATCAAACACGCTTCTTCCTGTAGAGGACATGTTCATCCCATCTCTTCACTCCTTCGCCGGGTATCCATCCCCGTGATCTATAGCACATCGAGGGACATCGCTAATCCTTCCACCAGATATCCCCTGGGGCCCTGTGGGTTCAGATAATCTCATTTCAGGAGATTCTCCTTGTTGAAGACCTTTCTTGCGGATCTCTTCCTTCCTGGGGTTGCCAGATGTTATAATCTGGCTCATGTGGATGGGAGTGTCTTTGACGGGCGAGAGAAAGGGTGTCAAGTCAGCTCACCGTGTCTGTCAATGTGGAGTGTGGCTATAAGGGCCAGAGGAAGGCTCCCCCTACGAACACGGGGGCAAAGAGGCCCAGGGTTTTTTGGTTTGTAAGCCAAGTAAATGACAGAGAGTAATCTGAAGCAATGTCTGGCACGTGAAAGTAACCAAGATTCCGTCTGGATGGATGGAGAGAAAAAGCTGGTTTGATGGGCAGAGTTACAACGGGGCTATAAATACACAGAAAAATACACTGTGTGGGGAAATACACAGACAAGTTGCATCTGATTTTTTTCAGCTGTATAGACCCTGCTGGTTACTTCTAGCAACGCTGTTGAGAGAAGGCGGGATTTATAGTACCTGATAGATAGACGCAGTAGGAGTTTGGGTCAAAAGTGTTGCCCCATTGAAATTCCTGAAACCCCCAGGAACAAAAGGAATCTGTTTTGTTTAGTGAAACAAACCTCATTAAACCCAAGGGAGAATTCAGCCCTTAAAACTGCATCACGGAAGGTGGGATAATGTCGGACAGTTCCACTTCCAATTGCAAAATAAAGTCAGCATTACCTAATATAGGACACAACGCAAGGAGCCTGGAATTTGCAAGTGGATGGCACCCGGGCTGGTGTTGCCTCTTGGAAGACCAGCTCTGTGTGAAAGTGCTACTGCATGCCCTCCCCAGAATGTCCCAGGGACCCTGGCAGGTCAAGGACATTCTTGGAGGAGATTCCAATGGCCTTCCATTGTATGGCAGTGACCTAGCTCTTTTACGAGCTAGGAGCTAGTCAGTGGCATTTAGGTAACACCGAAGAGGATTTGAAGGGAAAGGAAGGATCAGGCGAGGTCAAGTCCGGGCTCCCCTGAAACTGGAACAGTGAGCTCGCCAGAGGATTCCAACGCATCAGATGATTAAAGAGCCTGTAATAGCTTCATGCTGTTTTATGAGGCAGCAGTCAGGCTTCCGAGAGAAAAGATGAAAAGGCTGAGGGAAGCCAAGTGAGAACGAGCTTATTTTCACTGACAGATGCAAACTCCCCAAACACGAGTGAAAATGAAGTGGGCTCTGGTGGCTGAGGGGGGAATGTGTGCGGGCTGAGGCTGTGGAAGGGAAAAGGATTCTGCCCGCCCCCACGCCGGCAAGAGTCTGTCTCCACAGAATGTGGAGAGGTGTCCCAAGACAAAGATTATCTTGATATTTGTTAGGCTCCGGACACTTTTCCTATTAGATAGTAGAACGCACTGCAGAATAAAAATGTTCTTTTGCCCTAAAACAGCAAGGAACAGGCATCTAACCAAAACGCACCAATCTTTACAAGTCTGGAGAAGGTTCCTGCCAGTGTTCATTCCGTACATGATTTCCACATCCGGTTCTGCAGGGTCCACCTGAGGCACTTTGATTTCAACCTAGAGTCCCCATTCTGGTCTACTTCATAGACAGTTTTCTCTGAAGAAGGAGACAGAGGCTATATCCCTGTGCCTGGTGCACTCTCTGGGAGGAATGATCTTTATCCATCGCTACTGGTGCATTTAGACCAGAAAAAAAAGCAAGTCGCTTCACCAATGTCCCCTCCTCTGTCCCCAGGAGATAGATGCAAAGGGAGAGCGACAAAGAGGCTCTTCTGATTACATCGGTAATTGAATTTTCCCCGTGTCCTGACTGGATGCCTCGGCTGGTTGGTAGTGCATGGAAGACACTAGGCAGAGGCAGGGGAAATCGTCTATGTGACCGAGTCATCGTGCATGAAAGTTTAAAGTTGTAATGTGTTGAGGAAGCAGGCAAACTTCGCAAGAATCTTTAAAACAAACGAACACCTATCTCTGTCTTTTGCGGGGAAGGGATTGGAGTATAAAGAAGGAAGATTGGTTTGTTAACTCACAGAAGGCGCCTTAGCAGAACAGTCTAAGAAAGAGGGTGAGGCTGAGAGAGGAAGGGTCGTGATAAATTAACACTCTACCTCCCAGGACTTACTTTTGACCAGAGGCATTCTGTTGGCAATTTTTTTTTTCCTAACCAAGAACCAAACAAGAGTGACTTCTTTGGTTCACTCTTCCTTTTGCTGTATCATGCTTGAGGTGTACTCTTTCTCCGGGGTCTATTTATTTAGCTCCCTGTTTCCTAAGAAAGTCCCCTGATATACAGGGTAACTGAGGTATTCCGGGGGGGTGCCATCTTCACAGTATCACCATCATGGTCTCCGCCCCATGGTGGGGGCTTAGTCTACTTACCTATAACTGCTTTGAGCATCTCACAAGTCCCCACATCGCTACTCATCATTCTGCACTAACATACAAGGAGCCTTCCATGCACCAAGCACTGAGATAGGTTCTGGGAAGATTCAGACATGGTGGGTGCCCATCTGAGTCACAGGGTCTCATTTAGGGGTGAGGAAGGAAATGTGAAAACAGCTGTTACAGCATAACAGAACAGGTAGCATGAAAGAAACCTGACTCTTGGATAGCAATTGGCAACCATTTCTCTGCAGCTTAAACTAATTACTGCCAGTGGCTGGTTGATAGGCTTATGCGCTGAGCCCTGGAGATCTGTACATCATGGAAGGACATGGTGGAAAATGGGACTATTTGGCCTGGCGAGGAAGTCTGAGAAATGACTTAGTGATTATTTTGTAGCTATGCAGCATTTTTGTTATAACCAATAGCAGTAACCCCCAGTCTCTGTTTTCTTCCTTTCTGTTGAAAACAGATCAGAAGAAATGACCTTAAGAGGCCAGAAAAGGGACTTAGGTTAAACAAAGAGAAGTCTTGGTAATAATGTTATTAAACAATGGGGGAGACCCCCGTCCCCCCCGGGAGGATTTTGTGAAGAGGAAATTGGTCACCCACCCACACCAAATGCCTCCTAAAGGCCCGCCTAGCCTCACTGCAAAGGATAGAGGTCCCTCTGAAGCCCAGGGAAGAGGTGGAAGGAAGATACCCCAGAAGCGTGTCCCTTCCTTTGACTCTTTTGGGCTCCGTCTATTGGAGATTCCATTCAAAGCTCTGCGGCTCACACACGCACATAGGTTAAAAGGCACTTTCTTCCTGAAAAAGACTTGACCTCACCCTGCTGGCTTGACAAACAAATCGATGTCTTCTTTTCATTGCAGGCAAGTCACTTGGAAGAGGGGCTTTTGGAAAAGTGGTCCAAGCATCTGCATTTGGCATTAAGAAATCACCCACATGCCGGACTGTGGCTGTAAAAATGCTGAAAGGTATGGATGCTGTAGTTTGGCTTTCGGCTGACCCACTATATTCCCCAAACACTGGTACACGTTAGCTATGGCCTGGGGACAGACCCAAGCTATTTCTGCTCAGGCCACACAACTGCCTTTACTGCTGGAAGCCCCTTGGCTTCAGGAGTTTTCTATTAGGCCAGCAAGAGCTCTGAATAAACCCTGTAAATGAAACAATCCAGCACCGTCCATGGGAAAATGATTTGTGTCACCTCCACGATCTTTCTCCTCTCACATCTCAGGCTCTAACCTACCAGGGATCTAAGCTCACTGTAACCACAGGTTCAAGAGTTTGGAGTGATCGACTATGACGTTCCAATGGGAAATGAGCAATGCGTCGTAAATCCCTAAGGCTTAGCTGGGGCGTGCCCTAACCATAAAGTGAAACCGTGAAGCTATCAGAACTCTAAACTATTTGATACCGTCAAGTCCAACCCCAACACATTTCCTCTTTAGTAATTTACATATATCTATTGATATGTAATTTACATATATCTGTATCTGTCTATATATATGTATATCTTACTAGTGTTGAAAGAGACTACCACTCTAGGAAGCACTCAGGAAGTAGAGCCAAACTGCACGGTGATTTATGATCACTGAAAATCTCATGAAAATGAGAATAGGTGAAAACTATAAATCAGATATCTCAAAGACGCAGATGTCTTCTGAAGTATAGAAAATACTTCATTTCCTCATTCACGATGGCATTTTCATGTTAGTTGAACTCGTTTTAAGATTCTAAAACCAAAACATGGGGCGCCTGGGTGGCTCAGTCAGCTAAGCGTCCGACCTGGGCTCAGGTCATGATCTCACAGTTCATGGGTTTAAGCCCCCATGTCAGGCTCCGTGCTGACAGCTCAGAGCCTGGAGCCTGCTTCCAATTCTGTGTCTCCCTCTCTCTCTTCCCCTCCCCCACTCACACTGTCTCTCCTTCAAAAATAAACATTAAAAAAAAATTTTTTTTTTAAAGATTCTAGGGGCCCCAGGGTGGCTCAGTCGGTTAAGTGTCTGACTTCAGCTCAGGTCATGATCTCACAGTTCATGGGTTCAAGCCCCACTTCCAACTCTGTGCTGACAGCTCAGAGCCTGGAGTCTGTCTTTGGATTCTGTGTCTCCCTCTCTCTCTGACGCCCCCCTGCTCATGCTTGTCTCTATCTCCCTCTCAAAAATAAATAAAACATTAAAAAAAATTTTTTTAAAGATTCTAAACAGGACTGACAACCAAAGGGCAGGGTTTCTTTTAGCTTCCCCGAATCTCCCAGACTATACCAGGGGGTTTGGAGGCACAGGGAGCTGTGTATCCAGCTAAGCAGGTACGTGGGAAGGGCTCCAGGAGAAAGGACCAAACTTCAAAGTTCTTCACTTCATCCCGCACAGACACAGCCTTGCAAGAGCCCCAGGTAATATTTTCTACCTCAAAAGGCCGCCCTTGTCAAGCAAAGGCTCTGATAAAACTCTCTGAGGAACCTGACAGTTCTGCTCTGAAAGTAGCCAGGGGAGGAGTCTTAAGACGCACAAATCAGGACTTTTGTTCATGGTGGACTGCACGGATGATAGCAGGCCTTTCTGTAAACTATGCCTGCACCCCAGCACGCTGCCCCACACCCTGTACCCCAGATTCTGAAGAGATTTCAGTACATCCCTGTGTGAGAAGGCACCAGACTAAGTGCTTTCATGTATTAGGTTGAACCACAGGAGATTGCCATTTTTCCTAGTTTTCTCTCTCCGGCCTTGTGAGGGAGAGACTATTTTCCCTGTTGGCAGATGAGGAGACATGGCCCAGAGGGGTTAAATGGCCTCTGCAGGGCCTCACAGCTCCCCAGGGCAATAGTAAGGGTCTGAGTGTGGCGCTCTCACCCTCCTCCCACCACGGTGCTCTTCAGAAGAGGGACTCCCTAGACCCAGCCTCCAGGAAACAGCCCATTGCCCCCAATCCTAAAATGGCCCTGATCAATCCAACCTTGAGCTAAGTCGGGACTCCATCTGGAAGCATCTGCTTCCCCAGCGAGTCCCATTTTCCTGCCCACGGCCACACACCATCTTCAGGAGAGATGATCTCCTGCCCGTGCTCGTCTGTCACAGATCCAAGGGAACACCTGCCTGTGAATGGAAGGATCTGAACACGAGAGCTTGGCTTGTCCCCTGTGCCAAGGGGGCATAAATGCCCGGAGGGACAGATGAGTCCTACGGGGAGAATTCTGACTCGAAAAATGTTAAAGGCCGAAAGAACGTATTCTACGTAATACAGAAATAGCGCACTCGGTATCTTTATAAATGCTTATCTTTTCAGAGCCACGAGCCTGGATTTTGAAAAGATTGCCAAGTCACCCGCCTCTATAAAATTCCCCAAAGCCATTTTCATTCAGCTTTCTTGCTTGCGTTGGTCGGCCATCTGTTTCTGGGAGAAATGGAAAAGACAGAATGTCAAACAAAGGCCATGAGTCAGAAGCTCTTTCAGAGTGCCCCGGAGCAGACCCTTTAACCTTCTATGGGCCTCCTGCCCGCCTCGGAGAGGAGAAGAGTATTCGTGGTGTTTATTTTTCTAACAAATATTTGTTGTGTATCTATTGTTGAGCCAATCCCAACCCTGTTGGGAAGCTTCTAGAGTTTATCTGGTTATTAGTTAAACAGTGATCTAAAAATGATTTGTGCTTGCGAAATACCATGCACATCCTTTGGCCATTTCCAAGACTGATCTGCAGACACACTTGCACACGCGTACAAAGATTCCACTTTGGCTGTCTATTACAGTGTAGTTTGTAATGGCAAAAAAAAAAAAAAACAAAACCCACAAAAAAACAAAAAACAGAAAACCACATAGAAAAACAAAAAACTGGAGACGATTCAAATGCTAGGAATGCTATTAATCAACTGACATGAATGGAAAAAGTCTCTGACACATTATAAAAAGCAAATTAAAAAAAAATATATATACGATTCATGTAAATTAAAAAAAGACCTTTAGGTGGTCTGTTTACAAATATATGTTTACAAATACATAGAAAAAGGTCTGTCTAGGGGGTTATGTGGTTGGAGTGGCTTTTACTTTTTACTCGGCAGGCATCATATGGTTGGAATATTTTACAACGAGATTATACGCCTTTATTTTTTAAATGTTGTAAAGCCTTGTGGATTAACCAATAAGAAAGGCCAAGCAAAGCAAAGCAAAGACGAAACAGAACAAACTTCATTTAGGCTTTAGACTCTGCTAATTCTTAGACTGATGTTGTTTATCTCTGAGAATGAAGTTGAAGTCAGACGCTTATGTAGCCTCCCAATTTGAGATAACCTTGCAGACTCTGGGGAGGAAAAGGTTATAGGGAGAAAATAACACATTGCAAAGATGTTTACAGAAGTGGCCATTCCACTCTCGCAGACCCCTGGCGCTCCTTCTTTGTAACTCTTCAAAGAGGGGAAAGTGAGAAACAGAGGGGAGGTGCGGGCACATCCCCTGTCTGGAAGGTTCTTGCTGCACCTGGTTCTGCAGAATGGAAGCCTTTGGAAGGCGCTTTTGCGAGGTGCCCAGCTCTGAGTCAGCGCATTGCTGAGCAGACCAGGTCCACTGAGAGGAAATGCCCAGTGACTAAGCCCACCACTGCTTCTGGGGCTTACTGTAATCAAAAGGATGTTGGCTCAGGAGGGAGGGAGTAATGAAAACAGTCTGGAGACCTGGCCTTTCTGCAGAATGTGGGGAAGTTAATGAAGCAACCGTCTGAGCTTTGGCAAACATGGGGGGCAGGAATGCCGCCTCCAGCGGAAAGAGCCCCATTGTCCTGTCGCCTTGACTCTTCCTTGTTTCTCACACAGAGGGGGCCACGGCCAGCGAGTACAAAGCTCTGATGACTGAGCTCAAGATCTTGACCCACATTGGCCACCATCTGAATGTGGTCAACCTGCTGGGAGCCTGTACCAAGCAAGGAGGTAAATAAATGAGGAGGGCCCGCCCCCTCTCTCCATTCACATGCTAAGAGCAGAGTCTGATGTGTAGCTCTTTCTCCTCACCTCCTGAAAAGTAGCCTCTCGGATCCAGAAGAAACAATTTTGTCCATTTATAGAAAAGTGCTCCCATCTTCGAAATGCCTCCCCTGTACAGTTAACTGAAAGGTCCTGAAGAGAAGGATTCCCCTTTAGACCCCTCCCATGGGCTCCAGGTCAAGTGCAGGGCGTTTTTCTCTCAGGATGTGGCCAGAGCTGAGGTAATGGATAGAAGGTTGAACGTTCCTTGAAGCCTCACATAAGGCAAGGAATTACTCCTGGGAAGCTCCCCGGAGGAGGTGATGTTGGGGAGCAACCAGAAGGGCCCTTCCCTTCAGACAGGCTTTCCCTGCTGAGGCAAGTGGCCGGGATAGGGCTGTGGGGGTGACAGAGGACTCCGGCGTGTTCCCAAAGACTTTTCTGTCTTCCCCTATGGCAAGGTTAGTGTGTGGGCATAGACGTGTGATCACTGCTTAAGCCAGAAAGAAAGGTAAAAAAGACGCATCGGTGTCATCTAAGCCCGACCAAAGTAGTAGAGATGAGGGCAGTGGGTACAGAAAGCAGCCAAGAGCTGGGAGCCTCTGGCTAGAGGCCCAGCCATAGCTGCCTGCCCCTCCATTACCCCTGAGAATTGACCAGTGCTAAGCCGTCTGTTTGGACTGCAGGGCCTCTGATGGTGATCGTTGAATATTGCAAATACGGAAATCTGTCCAACTACCTCAAGAGCAAACGAGACTTATTCTTTCTCAACAAGGTAAGGAACTTAGGGTTTGGAAGTTTAGGCTGTAGCAGCATAAGGCACAAGAAACCTCTGTTTTCCCACTAATGACCAAGCTTAAAAACCCAATCTCTGCTTTTTCCTTTTTTAATTTTTCCTTCTATGCTGATATATCCCGCTTTCTGTGGGCAGCACAGAGAATACGTAATCCCAGCATGCACAGCAATAGAGGTTAAAATTTAATGGCTGTCTGCTTAAATACCTATCTAAGCATCTTGATCGTTTTCTTTCTGCACATGTACACACACACACACACACACACACACACACACACACCTCACTTAGTGACTTGTTTCTTCAAAGATAGTAGCGAGTATAATCGTCTCCATTTTTTTAGAGAAATGAAGGACTCAATCAACTGAGTGACTTTTTAGTGAATGAGAGGCCCATGACGGAGCCAGAGAAATCGTTTTCTTCCCTCGCTATGCCCTTACTCCGCCTTGCGCAGACCCTCACCAGCCAGGTCAGCCCTGCACACACACGGAACCAGCCTGACTCACTAACATAAAGCTGTGTAACAAAAGGAACACATGGGGTTAAGTCCTGAAGGCAAACAAAGCTTAAAAGGTTGTGGAATGGAGCAGAAGCTTTGATAAAACTTTGCCAGCGTGAGCTGTCTCACCAGTGTTGTGTCCTTCTCTGGGCTGCAGCAGCTTGGAGAGCCGTGACTCAACGTTACTAAGTGATAATCAGCAGCGCTGGTGATGAGTCTGTGCCATGTGGTGGGTAAACACAGACTCTGGACCCAGGCACCCTGGGTTTAAATCCTGTCTCCACCACTCAAAACCTGGGACCTTGGACAAGTGACTCAGTCTCTCAGTCTCAGTTCCCTCATGAAACGGAGGTAATAGCAGAACCCAACTCATGGCAGTATTGGCAGAATCACATTTTGTATTGAATTAAGCATCCCATAAATACTGTCACTGTCGTCACTGGCCCACCGAGACAGATGAGAGTCCCACTGAATGCCACGGATCTGTGCCGCCTGTGTGGTGGGTAAAGTGCCACACATCCAAGAATTACATGGACAAGAGTATTCATGGGACACAGGGGCGCCTGGGGGGCTCAGTCGGTGAAGCGTCCGACTTCGGCTCAGGTCACGATCTCATGGTTCGTGGGTTCGAGCCCCACGTCGGGCTCTGTGCTGACAGCTCAGAGCCTGGATCCCGTTTCGGATTCTGTGTCTCCCTCTCTCTCTGCCCCTCCCCCACTCATGCTCTGTCTCTCTCTGTCTCAAAAATAACCTATAAAAAAAAAAGCATATTCATGGGACACACAAATAAGAACTACCAGACAACTGGCCAATTCTCTCATCCCTCCAACTTTGACCCAACCAAAGACACAGGTGATTTACTTGGAAACATATCTACAAGAATGTGTTGTTCCCAGTTTTAACTCTAGTAATTAGAATGCACTCTAGTAATTAGAATCTTGAAGCTGAAGGGATACCTGACTGGCTCAGTATGTAGAGCATGTGACTTTTGATCTCAGGATCCTGAGTTCAAACCCCGTGTTGGGTATAGAGATTACTTAAACAGAGAATCCTGAAGCTGAAAAGGATGTGTGTGATCAGCCCCTTCCACTCTCTCACATTACAGACGTGCCCAGGAGAGTCAAACGATTGGCTTAAGATTCACTTAACTTTCAGTGACTAGTGGCTCACCCCACAGGAGAAAAATCCCAGCTCTCTTAACTCCCTGTGCAAAGCTTTTCTGTGCACTACCAGCATCTACAGGTGGGGGGGGGGGGGAAGAGCTGGGAAAGGAGGGGGGGAGAGGGGGACAGGAGCGGGGAGACCATTAGCCAAAGGGGAAAGTGATGGCCTGGGCTGAGAGCAGTGCAAAGTCCCTCCAGTCCTGAAGTCCTGGACTGGCTACAAGAAGAACGAAGGCAGCATCGTACCCCAGGGACCCGGGCAGGATGGAACGTTTGGGTTTTTGCGTCCTTTGTTTGGAAGGCTCTGCTTCCTCCTCCGGCTATATTTAATGATTTGCCTCCCTGTTGATGGAGCTTAGTGTTTTCGCGGAAAACACATGGCTGTATTTCATATTTGGGAGGTAAAGGAACATAAAGAGAAAGTGAAGGGAAACCTGAAAGGCTAAATAGAAATGGGATCTTTCATTTTTCCAAATAAATGCACCAGGATCTTTAAATACTCTTTGTAAATAAATTCCACCCTATTCCGCCAGGGTCCTGAGACATCGGTACAGCGACCTTTATTTCACAGAGGTGGTCACCAAAACGCAAAGCTGCATATGGCGTGGATTGGGGGTCAAGGAGGGGATAAGGGCGCTCGAGTTTATGGTCTCTGCAGACGTGCCCAGGCTGTGGCCACTGGCTGGGAGGGCGAGGGAGAAGGCTGACCGGAGACCGTTGTCAGGGACTGAGCCACCTGCTGAACACTTTTCTCCCTGCACTTGCCAGTGCTTTTCTCTGCTGCCTGTGTCCTCAGAAGGGGCCTTGTAAACGATAAAATGTCAGCCCCCAGCTGAGTCAACTCTAACCACCTCCGGGAGACACGCTAACAAGGAATTAGACTCTATCTGTTGTCAGGTAGGTCACCTGGGGTGGCAGTGGGTGCCTGCCACTGAGGCTCGCCTGCCGTGCGCCCTGGCCAGGAGACAGGAGCCTGGTACCTTCCACACTGAGTCTGTCGGGCTGTCCCTCCTGTGACTCTCCCTCCTCTGTCCTCTGCTTACTCCCACTGCGCCCTCTAGTGGAAAGAGCTCTCCTACTTTGTGACATTTCCGGAAAGAGCCACCGGCGGAGGCCTGGCCGCTAGGCCCAGCACTGCCGCCCCGTGCAGGTGCTTGCAGGGCCACCACTGAGCCCCAGTCCCTCTCCGCCCCGTCCCCGCACTGCCAGCCAGCGTCGCTGAGCCTCGGCACACGCTCCACTAAGCCACCGGCGCCGCGTCCCCAGGAGAGCTAAGCTTGCAGCGTCACACTTAGGTGAATTCCCAAAGACGCTGGGAGTAATTTCCGGTTCCTAACGAACACCCAAAACATCACCTCCTTTCCTAGGAGTCCAAACACAATAAGATGATGGAGCTTTCCCAGTGAGGGAAATGAGGCCCCAAAAAACTAGGTAATTTGCCCAATATCGCATAGTTAATAGAAGAGCCAGATTACAGACGAGGGCGTGGATGGAGGTCCAGTCCAAGATGAAAGGCCTTTTCTGCCCTTAAGGGGATCAAACTGCATCTTTGTTTTGAACGGAGGGGAGAAAGAGAGATGTTCGTGTTCCGTCCTTCCCCGAAGACACGAGAGAAATTGAGAACGATAGCGTTCTCCCGTTACTCACAAGACTTATGTCAAGTGGAGCCCTATGTCCACTAGGGATTCACTTCTATTATTCGGATCGCCTTTCACAAGATATGGCATGTGGTGTGGAAAAAGTGGTTAAGGGCACGGACGGGAGTTGGCCAAACCTGGGTTTTAAGCTTTGCCATTCCCTGCTTGTGTGTGGCTTTTATTCCTTAACCCCTATTTCTCGTGTCTACGCAAGAACGACTTCATAAAATGGTCAGAAAGATTAAATAAGAACATACGTGTAAGATTCTTAATATACTGGCTCACACAGCACTCAGTGAATACCAGCGGCCATTAACATTTCCTCACGCTCCCTAAGATGCTGCCCATTCGAAACCAGAACAGACTCTAGAAACCCAAGAAGAGCCAGGCTCCTGAGCACCACGGGGCCCCAGCTACCCATTTTCTATCCGTTTTGTGCAATGACGTTCTCCCAACTCAAGCGACTGCCAGCTCGGGGGATTCCTTTCCTCATTGCTGTTCTGGAACTCTCTTTTTCTCTGTGTCCTTCTTGGTCTGTTCAAAGGATGCAGCCTTACACATGGAGCCTAAGAAAGAAAAAATGGAGCCAGACCCGGAGCAAGACAAGAAGCAAAGACTAGATAGTGTGGCCAGCAGCGAGAGCTTCGCAAGCTCCGGGTTTCAGGAAGATAAAAGTCTGAGCGATGTTGAGGAAGAGGAGGGTAGGTATTAATTCCTTCCTGTCCTCCAGTCGGAGATATTTTTACCACATAGTGTGCATCTCTGAAATTTTTTTCTTATTTATCACCCTAATAAACATCCGTGGGAGACTTGAAGGGTAATGTCCTGAGGAGATAAGATTTGAATTAAGATTATTTACAGAGTTACTAATTTTGACAGGGAACTCGACCATTGTCTCCCTCAGGGCCTTTTGTCTTGACGGATCATCCTCCCCCTGCCCCCAATCCTTGGGTAAAATGGGCTGAAGGCCTGGAAAAATCTTGGATATTCATCTTGAAACTCAAATGCTCTTGACACTGTACTCTGATCTACTTGTTGGTTTGTTTTATGTTTTGCTAACATTGTTCCAATAAACAGGGATTTGGTGGGCTAACAAGAACCATTACAAACAGTTACGGTCTTAATGCTTTCCAGATTCCGACGATTTGTACAAGCAGCCCATCACTATGGAGGATCTGATTTCGTACAGTTTTCAAGTGGCCAGAGGCATGGAGTTTTTGTCTTCCAGAAAGGTCAGCCTTGCCTTTTACTATCTTCTTCTTTGCCAGGCCCAAAATGTAGGTGTTCACACCAACACACACACTCAACGTTTGCTCTAAATCCGCTCTTCCTCGTATTCGCTTCTACTTATGTAAATTTGTTGTTGTCATGTGTTGTCACCAACAAATGCCTTAATTTGTCCTGAGAAGACTGGGGACTCTTGGATGCCGATGATAGAAACTTAACTCTGGGGGAAGACGAATCTGGCAACCCTTCTCCACACGGCCCTCTGGCACATTCGCAGACCTGGCCGGTATCTCAGTATACGCAGCTTTGTGGGAGCGCTTCTGCTAACACATCCACGTGGACGTCTCCACAGAAACTGCAGCCGGGTCACGGTCTGACCTTGGCTTCTCAGGAGGAAAGGCTGGGGAAGGGAGAGCGGAGGCTGGGGGTAGTTTTGTTCACTGGTAGAAATCGATGGCCGGCTTGGTTTATGAGGACACCATTCTGCCGGACAAAGGCAGGGGCAGACTCTGGGCGTTTCTGGATTTGGGGGGCCGTGTTTCTAAAGCAACGCCTTCACGTTTACGGTAACCCCGTATGCGTTGGGAGTCGCTTCCTTCATGTAAAGGAAGCACGTGAAATGGGGCCTCCAATGAAGAGGAAAGGAAATTAGCCAGTGAGACTAAGGACATGCATTGATTATACACCTGTTTTCTTCTAGTGCATTCATCGGGACCTGGCAGCAAGAAATATTCTTTTATCTGAGAACAACGTGGTGAAGATTTGCGATTTTGGCCTTGCCCGGGATATTTACAAGAACCCCGATTATGTGAGAAAAGGAGATGTAAGTCAGTTTGATGTTTCTTTGACTCACTTATACCCTGTCATCTTTAAACCGCAGACCAAAGCCCTCGGTAAATATTTACGTGCTCCCCGAAAACCCTCATGTGCTCTCTGTGAAGACGGCGGCCCAGAGAGCCTTGCGTGGGGCTCAGCAGTGCTCCCTTCTCCTGGTCCCGTTCTTTCCCAATTGCCGGCTTGGAACCCGTCCTTTTGGGCAGGACTGCCCGAGACGGCTGGCCGTGTCGGTGGGGCCCTGGGAAGACCATAGCGGCCCCCACCCCCCCGACTCCTGTGGGAGTTCCCTGTACCACTGGAAAGAACACCCTGGACTGTTTCCCTCAAATAAACCCGGGTGATTGATTCTGCAGGTGTATATACCCCAGGAAAGGGGGGGGGGCTATCGGTTTTATCTCGCTGGGGAGGAAATGGTTCACCTCTCGTGTCAGCCTCCCTGCCTTGCATCTCCCTGCGGGCTCACCCTGGCTGCTCTTCCCTGCTTGTTTTTGAACACAGTGTTATTTTTCTCTCTTGCGGGTGACCTCTGGTGTCCTCGCTTCTCCGGCCTGAGGGCTGAAGCCTGTGTGGAAGCTCTGACATTGCTCTAGCAGTGGTGCTGAATTTGACCCGGCACACACATCACCTGGAAGGGCTTAATGAATGAAAGTTTACTGGGCTCCGGCCCCTCAGAGATTCTGATCCGAGGAGGCTCAGGTGGGGCGTGAGAATGCGCCTTTCTAACAAGTTTCTAGGTGCTGCAGACACGGCTGGCCCCGGGGCTATAGTTTGAGAACCGCTGGTCCAAAGTCTGTTTTCGTAAAAGAAGAATTTAGGAGCCCTGAAAAGCCTGTCATTTTCTGGCATCTCTGTCTCTTTCAGCCTCTCCCGCTTCTGTTTGGCCGTCTCTCCATTGCCCCTTACTTCCATCCACGGGGGCAAGGTCTCAGGGAGCCTGGGGGGCTCAGTCGGTTGGGCGTCCGACTTCGGCTCAGGTCATGATCTCACGGTTCATGGGTTCGAGCCCCGCGTCGGGCTCTGTGCTGAGAGCAAAGAGCCTGGAGCCTGTTTCAGATTCTGTGTCTCCCTCTCTCTCTGCCCCTCCCCAGCTCGTGCTCTGTCTCTCTCTGTCTCAAAAATAAAAATAAACTATAAAAAAAAAAGATCCTCCTTCTTAAAAAACAATCCTGGAAATCCTCAGTTTTCATGTTGTGTCCTAATTCAGATCATGCTTTTCCAGATGCCTGTGGAGCACACATGCCTTTTGTGGGGAGGAGGGTTTCCCACAGAGTCCGGGAGTGGGGTCAGGCTGTACACATGGCGGGGGGGGGGTTCCCCTGCCACTCACCGCCCTGTTAGGGGACACTGCGCGGCCTGAGTGCTTCCTCCGTTTTAGGAAACCGTGGCTGCTCTAGGAAATGATTTGTGGGCCAGCTGTTATCTGGGAGGTGACCCCATGGGCGCTTGGGGTGAACACGCTTTGTTTTCACGTCCACCTGCTCAGGGCCCCCTGCCCTTTTCTAGACTCGACTTCCTCTGAAGTGGATGGCCCCCGAATCCATCTTCGACAAAATGTACAGCACCAAGAGCGACGTCTGGTCTTTCGGTGTGCTGCTGTGGGAAATCTTCTCCTTAGGTACATGGCGGGGGGCGAGGGGCGGGGGGCGGGTGGGGAGGGGATCGAACAGCCCGGAACCAAATTTCTGCGTCCTCTGCCGAGGGCCCTCCAGATAAACCCACCCTGAGAACAGCATCTAGGAGGCACGTGGGTCCCTGTGAAATCTCACATGAGCAAGGGCGCACACACATGTGCCCCAGATTGTAAGGATGCTTCGTGTGCACATGCCCAGGGGACGGGCCAGCATCTCATCCGAAGTCAGGCCCAGCCAGCCTGACTACTTTCTCAATCCTGTGCTCCTCCGAATCCCGCAACGTCTCTGGTTCCCGACGCCCTGATCCTTCCCTCTCTGCGTCAGCCAGCCCTCAGCATTTCTTCGGAAAGGCCCCCGCAGCACAGCGCGGCCAGTGCTAGAGACGGGCCTTCCCCATATCAGCACAGCTAGCCCTCCGCCCTGGTTTGGGCGGCATGAACAACGGGCACACCGACTACGTTTATTCTGCTTCCACTGGCATCCTCTGTGGGTGGCTGGAAACCCCGTTCAAGGCTCCAGATGTGCACACAGATGTGCACAGAGCCCCCGTCTGCTTGCGGACGGACACACGCTGATGGGCTGGGGCCTCCCAAGCGCGGGGTCTAGCCAACAGTCTTTCAGACTTTGCCAAACGCTTGCCCTTCGGAGCAACTAGAAGTCACCCGGTAACATCCCTGGTTTCCTGTAATGTGTGAAAATCATTCCCCGGCTTTCGATGACAGGCACCTGTTGCTTCCAGTCCTTGAAAGCAGCTTGGCGGCCACAAGGGCCCCGTGGTGACAGCACGTGTCCCAGCTGCTTCCTAAGTCAGCCCTAGAAAGTGCAGGCAAACAAACGCTGAGCTAGACTAGGTTCGAGGTCTGGGACAGAGCCGGTCGGGAGGTCTTGTTCACGCCTAGCCCCAGCCCGGCGTCCCCCTAGAAGGAGAGGTCGCGTGGGTCATCTAGATGGTAAAACCCAGAAGGCAACGTCTAGGCCCTTCCAGCAGGCCCCCCCCGTCGGCGGCGGTCCCACCCCATTCAGCCTCACCCTCAAGGCCCCCTGGCCCCCAGGTCCCGCAGCAGCTAGTGCTTCGGGTCTTTGAAGGGTTAAGAGAAAGTAGTGAAGGACGTGATTCTCCCTGACGTGGGAATGACCTGTGAGTATCCTATTCTAGATCCCTCGGCCTTTTAGAAAGAATCTCATTTAGAATGAGTCTCTAATGATGGGATTTCTGTAGAGTTCCCTGTGGGGTGAGGGGAGCCCCCACCCTGCAGACTGGGACTGACCCCCCCCAAGCCTGTGGCACCGGAAGAATTTGCTGGGCTTCTCTGTGGGTACGGGATGTGGGGAGCCATTCCAGTCCCTGGGGACTGAACCATCGCTTGAAAGGGAGGAGATGAACCCCGAGGTGCCCCCCCCACCGTGGTGTTTTGCACCCAGAAGCCGCGACGTGCCCTGTGCTTCCTCACGCCGCCTCTTACAGGTGGGGCCCCGTACCCGGGAGTGCAGATGGACGAGAACTTCTGCAGCCGTCTGAAGGAAGGGATGAGGATGAGAGCCCCCGAATACGCGACTCCGGAAATGTGAGCCCCCGGCCTCCCCGCTTCCCCATCTGCGCACCGGGGCGCACTCTCCATGATCCATCCCTCCCCGTTGCCTCTGTTGCCCACTGACATGACTCTTCAAGGCCTTTAGCTGCAACTGAAGTTAGAAACGGAGCCTCTAGGTATGAATCCGGCCCACTGAACAGAGCACCCAGGAACCCGACGCAAGGCCCTGCGCCCGTTCCCAGAGGGGGAGCCCAGTGAGCTAAGCGGCCACAGGGGTGAAGGGCTAAAGGTCGCCGTGGAGCGATCCGTCCTCCATCACGCTGGAGACCGCTGAGGGGGGTTTCACTTGGGATTCGGGGGAAGAGGTGTAGGGAGGAAGCGGAGGGCTCTACCGAGTGCGGGTGAAGTCCCGCTCCACAGAGGGCTCCGTGGACGTGAAGCCTTCTCTGGGCTCGGTTTAGGGGTGTGCAGCTCCTTGAGAGGCTTCCTGCTTATGATGCACGGACTCTGGGCTCCGTGTGAGGGCCTTCATGGTGCAGCGCTTGCTGGCCTCCCTTGGACGCTCTTTTCCTGAAGCTGGTGGGTGGATGTTTTGCACGTTAAGGCCTACGCAGGAATGTGATGACACTTGCACTTTTACGGGGCTGCTGACAAGGACCTGGGCCCCCCCAGGCGCCACCACCTTTCCTGCACTGGCAGGCGGCCCTCCCCGTCCCACCCACACAATGGGGTCTCGTCAGAAGCCCCGGGATGGCCTTTGGGGAGGAGTCGGAGGGAACGAAGGAAGTGTGGGCTTGGCCGAAGTGCAAGGTTGCTGTCTCTTTCCGTCACCTTCTGGAGACAAGGCTGGGTCAGACCCAGGCCGAGGACAGGAGACGCAGGCCCATCGAGGCAGCGTCGGGGAGTGGCACGAGTACAGAAGGGAGCTGGGGGGGGCCCGTTCTGGTCAGCCCCGCAAGGTGTCTTATCAGCGAAGGGCAGAGAGCTTGAGGCAGGGCTCCTTTCCGAGAGCCGGGAACAGAGCTATCTCGGCCCGCGGGATGCCATCTGGGCTGTGGGGTGTTGAAGGCGTTGAAGAGTTTTTAATTGCTCGCTTCCTCTTGCTTGGTGGAGAGGGGCAACCGCCAGGAGATCTGGTGTGAAATGAGATGACTTTGCACTTTACGGGCTTCTAAGCTAAGTGTCCCCCCCGCCCCCCACACACAGTTCCATCTAAAGTTCCCAGAAACCTTGAGGGGCAGACAGGCAGATGTTATCATCTGAATTTGATGAGTAATGAAACTAATCCTCCCAGAAGTGATTTGTCCTCTGTCAACTCTGTAGCAGAGGAGACACTTAGAAGCCAGTCTTTTGAACTGATTTCCTTAGATCACAGGACTGTTAAATTAGAAAGATATCCGATATTCCTTAGGAAAAAAGGTTTCTCTTAATGTCCACTCATGCCTTGAATATTTCTGCTTTTCATATAATCGGATAATCACAAGACTCTCCATTGGTAACAACCGTAATTGCAGTCAGTATTAGGTAACGTTTAATATTTATTAACTAAGTAGTTGTTTAGTGCTCAGGTGCCAGGCACTGTTTTAAGTGTCCGGAGGCTCATAACAACCCCAAACAGGTACAAGTGTTATCTCCAATTAAGAGATAAGAAAACTGAGGCACAGAACATCGGAGTGATGGTGCCACGCTGCTAATGAGTTAGGCTGAGTTGAGAGCCCACACCGCTAGGTCTGCTCTAATACTTACCCAGATTCCGGTCCAGAATGACTCTAGAGGTACGGCGTCCTTTCAGCTGTGGACTGAAAACCCCCTTGGACTTGATCAAAGGTTCATGTCTTCACGTTAATCACTCTCAGATGACACTTGTGTCCCAAGCAGCCTGTAGAGAAAAGGATGGCTCCTCAGTGCCGGAGGGAGGTGGGGTGGGCATTAGAAATTCTGAAGAGCAGCAGCTTTGCGAAACGTTTGTTCAGCAGGCTAGAATCCCGGCCTTCCGCCGCTCTCCAGCATTTGAGAGCTGATGGAGAATTTCCTTCTTGTTTGCTCCAACAGTTGAAGTCCCCTGGGTGCCGGGCAGGAGACAGAGTGCAGCGCTCAGAACAGGCTTCTGTGACCTGAACTTGGCCCAAAGTGGCGTGCGCTTGGGGGCTTGGGTGATTGCTTGAGAGGAAGCCCTGCCCCCAGCTTGTTTCAAGAAGGGCTCTTGGGTTGAGTGCAACTGGTGTGTCTTACTGTATTCAACCTGTTTACTTAGTGATGTGAACCATCCGACGCAGAGTGGCTGGTTCCTCGCCCAGGGCCTGTTTAATCAGGCCTGTCTTTCAATAAGGAAATAAGCAATGAAGTGTTTCGATTTTTTTTCTAATTTTCCTTTGGTGTTTGCTGAGATGATTTGCGTTGGATTTTAGGCAAGAGGGGCGGAAAGCAGAAATCAGAAACCAAGAATCACAATAAAGCAGCAAGTTATTTGTAGACGGTCCCTTTTGCTGGTTTCAGCAGAGAGAACCAAGCGAGAGTGCTGCTCGCAGCAGCTGCTCGCTCAGGGGTGAAAGGATGCTGGCTGAGATGAGCCGGTGGGCCCCCACCCCCACCCCTGCGTGACTGCACACTCCCTCCTCTCAGGAACCGCCCCCCCTCTCCTCCAACCTTCAAGCCTTTCTTGCTTTGACTACCTTTTATAGATGATCTGTGCATGTATTTGACATCCTTCCAACAGCCTCCAAGATTGTTTATTGCTAGAATTGCTTTGGAGGATTAGGCTTCAGTGTGGGAAGGTGGAGGCAGGCCAGGGTTCGTCGCAGCCAATGCATGTAAATGTTTGTGTGCCTATCTCAGTCAATTAGTAGACTGTGTAGACGTAAAGGGAGAGCCAGAGAAAACTGTGCAGACTTTCTTAGGCTACTTCAGACCTTTGGCCACTAGCAGGCTGCCCCAGGTTGTCTGAAAGGAGCAGGTGCCTTGCGTCCTCACTCTGAGGCTGCCGGTCAGGGATAGTTAGGGACCCTGTGTCTCCGGAGAGAAGGGACAATGGCCCAGAGTTAGAGATCTTGTGTTCCCCTCCTCACTCCCAGCCTCCCATGGGCCTGCAGATTGAGCTTCAGTAGAGTGGTCCCTGACATTGGCCTTCACAGCCCTTGGGACCAGTTGACCTCCCCACCCCCCCGCCCCCCGCCAACCCCCCTGGGACTTAGGTGGAATAGGTACAGTGGATGAAGCACATGGGTGGGAGAGAGCCAGAATCATCTTCTGAGAACAGTCTTGACCCGTTGGTTTGGACAAAGGCAGGAGAATTTGCGATTCAGGCAAGTGATCTTTGTGAGCTCCAGTCCCTTAATCAAAGACCTAGGACATCTGCTCACTGGGTATGGAGAAAGCAGAACCTCAGCTCCACTATCCAACTATTAGGAGAGCTTGCTTCTAAAGACCAGGATCCATGGAGGGTGTTTGAGGACCCCTTGGTGCCACTACTCCCCTGGGTACCTAAGAGCCACACACCCCCAGGCCACAGTATCTTGCCTCTCAGAATGGTTTTCACGGACTGGCATTCTTGCTGGTAAGGCTTCAGCAAACATTGAAGGACATGTACGAGACAGTCCCACGGAGTCATTATTTCCTAGATGGGAACCACGCTGTTGAGATGGGTCTAGGGCAGCTTCCTTTCGGATTTCAGTCCTAGGAAGAGCCATACTTCTTCCAAGTAACTGGTTTGCTTTTAACTTTTGGCCTATGTGCATCACGTAATTGATTATTCCTTCTTTTTACCAGCTGCCTGAGGGCTTGGAGCACTGCCTCTATCCAACTAACTACTCAGAGTCAGGATTTAAATTTGGCGTATTAGCTCTGCCTGTAGTTTTGCCTTTTTGTTATTTTCCCTTCCTCCCAATAGCCTTCTTTTTTCTTAACCTTCCTGTATTCCTACTGTCTGTGTTCACCACCTCATATATACTCTGAAACAAAATAGGGATATCCTTAAGAGACTGGGGGAGGCTGGTGCAGACTGGAAGCGCATGTCTAAGAAGCGGCAGTGTGGGGTTTCTAGGCTTTTCCCAGGAAGCCCCAGGTCCCAGCACTACGGTAATGTCTGCAATACGGCTTCAGAATTCATGGAAGGAAGACTGCTGTCTCCTCCCAGAGACACGTGTGACTTCCTTGTCGACACTGGAGCGCTTATATGCCAGGCCCTGTATTAGGGGAGGGGGCTGAGACGTGGTCCCTGCCCACATAGCTCCAACAGCCGGGGTCTAATCCAGTTCTAAATTCTGAGCGCATTCCAATTTTGATCCAACTTGGTCAGAGCCCTCTAGTCCAGATGATCTTCTGAGAGAAGAGATACTGACCGTGAACTTCTCAAGGAGAGCAAAGAACCCAAAGATAGTAAACGTGTAAGCCAGTGTGTGTAGAGCGCCCCGACGTGTGATTTACAGGGGCGAGGCGGGGCAGAGACCTGTACCCTCTCAGACATGACCACGAGAAGAGCCCCGTACTTTTACATCTCAAAGGTCAGCGGAGACCAATCGTAGAGGAACCCTTTAACATTTAAACCCCAGGACACGATTTGGTTTCTGTCATGTGAAGACAAACGTTTTCATATTCAGAAGCTCAGCCTGTACGCAGGGCCTTGAGAGGCGTGGGAAGCCAGTGTGTAATGACTGCTTTGAAAAGCGGGCATTGCCAGGGGAGAGGGGATCATCCACATGGAAGAGACCTGCCCAAGGAACCATTTGTACTTGACACAGACTGTCACCTTTTGGAAGTGGCCTGAGTCCGTATGCAGTGCCTTCTCAACCAGTCTCCAGTGCTGAGCTCCGTAGGGGAACTGTGAGGCCCTAGACCTACTACATCCTTATTAAGAAGCCCAAGCCAGCAGCGCCTGGGGGCCTCAAAGCACCCCTGACTTTGATTGAGGTCATGATCTCACCCTTCTGGAGTTCAAACCCTGCATCGGGCTCTGTGCTGACAGCTCAGAGCCTGGAGACTGCTTCGGGTTCTGTGTCTCCCCCTTCTCTCTCTGTGCCTTCCTCACCCACACTCTGTCTCTGAGAATAACTAAACATTAAAAGAATTTTTTTAAAAGAAACTCAAGCCAACCTCTTTTTATACAAAATATATACAGTATATATAATACGTATTATATAATACATTATATAATGTATTATAATACGTATTATATATAATATACAATACATATTATATATACTGTATATGAATAAATATAATAAATGCTGCAAACAATTCACCCATGTATATTTGTGTCCATGTTAACTTTTACCTTTAAGGACATTGCCTTGCCTTTGAACGTGAGGGGAGGAGCCCCATGCTGCGTACTTAACTGCGAGCGAACACGGGTGCTCTTTCCAATGCCTCTGCTTTACTGAGGAAGCCTTCTGTCTTCCCCTCTGCAGAGACCACGAGCATTCCGAAGAACTTGGGTGGTGATGGGCTCCGGAGGGCTGGGTTTGTCAGTCCGCCTTTCTAGAATGTTTTCTACCCCCAGCAGGCCCCGGCCCAAACAGCCTGGATGGGGGCAGGGCTGCCGCAGGCCCAAGTCCAAACATGAAGGCCAATATCCTGTACCACAGGCAGCAGGGTCTCTATCTGTAGGATGATGCCCATCACTTCGCTGCGCGTAGGGCAGGCTCCGGTCCCCGGTGCTCTCCAGTGATTTCTGCTGTGCTTGTGCCCAACAGCTACCAGATCATGCTGGCCTGCTGGCACAAAGACCCGAAAGAGAGGCCGAGATTTGCGGAACTCGTGGAAAAACTGGGCGACTTGCTCCAAGCAAATGTACAACAGGTAAAGCTAAGTTAATCTAGAATACCAGAAGACCAGATGCCTTTGAATGTAAGTCGAAGGGGAAGGTATTTTATTTGTTGTTTTAATAGCTGAGCTGTTTAAAGAGCTGAGCTCAGTAGTTAAAAAAACGTGTGCGCACATGTGTGCGTGCAGAATTCTCTTCCCAAAACACAGCAAAGATTGTGGAAATGACATAGTTGAAGCTGATCTGTTTCACATAGGGTGAAGTAGAAATTTGTACAATGAGAGCTCTTTCTTTGGTATTTTAGGATGGTAAAGACTATATCCCACTGAATGCCATACTGACAGGAAATAGTGGGTTTACGTACTCTTCTCCCGCCTTCTCCGATGACTTCTTCACGGAAGATCTTACAGCTCCAAAGTTTAATTCAGGAAGTTCTGATAATGTCAGGTAAGATTTCTGTCTTTCCTCAGCTTTATAAAATTTTCACACATAAAAAAAGCCCACCTCCCAAATTCAAAGGCAGTTAACATTTTGCCCTATTTTGTCTCTATGCACACACTCTACGTGTATGTGGTTCTTTCTGCTGAGCCATTTGAAAGAGAGCTTCAGGCATTATAACATTCTACTGCTACATCTTGTAAGATCTTTCTCCTGTGTTACCACATTAGAATGATCACACACTCACACACACACACACACACACACACACACACACACACCAATTGGTAGTTTTGTTTTTCAGTGTTTGTTTATTTTTGAGAGAGGGAGGGAGGGAGACACAGAATGTGAAGCAGGCTCCAGGCTCTGAGTTGTCAGCACAGAACCAACACGGGGCTCAAACCCATGAACTGGGAGATCATGACCTGAGCCAAAATCAGACGCTTAACCAACTGAGCCACCCAGGTGCTCCTTGATAGTTTCTTAATATTACTAAGCACTCGAGTTTCCAGAAGTTCCCCAAATGTCTTTTATACCTTAAGAAGAAACAAAAAACACATCAGGATCCAATCAAGAACAACACATTGCATTTTCTTTACTCTGATTTTAGAATAATCTTACATCTTTTTTTTCTAAAGACTTTTTTCTCATGAGACCTTTGATAAAACCATTTGTTTTTCTTAATGGACACGCTAACGCATCATTCTTTACCGCAGAGGAAACTGGAGAAGGTCACAAGGGAAAAAATATTGATTGAGTGCCTCCCCTGGGGCCCGGGTGGGGGCCAGCTCTTCAGTACTAACAGTCACACCATATCATACGTGTTCAGTACGAATAACTGTACAGGTAGCAACACATGTCCGTATTTGCATCACACATCACTGCCCACAGTGACCTATGAACCAAGCGCCACTCCTGATGGTTACGTGTGTAATCATACCCATTTGGTCCTGGAGCTGCGTGTGGTCTGGTGCTGTGCTAGGCTCTTTGTATACACCAGTTCCTTTAATGCTCAAAACAATACTACAAAGTGGATATTATTATTACTGCTACACAAATGGGACCATTAAGGCTCCACGAAAGATAGCCTGCCAAGACTGTGTGCCTAGAAAGTGGCAGAAAAGAGTTTGTGACCCAGGTATTGTGATCCTGCCTCCCTGTTCCCATGCAGTTAGGACTATTTTTAGGATATTCAGATGATCCTGTGGGCCTTCTAGCGTCTTTATCTGTGGTAGACACAACTCTAGGGCTTTGACCTCCGTTCAGCCAAACTTGACAGGTGACCAGGAGAGGCACAGCTAAGCGCTGGGTGCTGTCTGAAAAGACTGGCAGCCATCTATGACAGGCCCAGAAGCCCAGGGACCTGCCCCGCTTTGCGGCAATGGGTTCTATGTCAGTGGCACTGCTCACACTTCATGACCAGCCCAACAGGCTGAAACCGATGAACTACCCATTTGTTTTTAAAGATAAGAAAACTAGCTGAGATTGAACACATTCATGGTAGCTGATTGTGTCAGTGATGGGGGTGGGGGGAGGTGTCAAGCTTGTTTGAGCCCCTTCAGGACGTTGCTTAGCCTTAGACCAATAGAGCGCTTATCTAAGAAACTGGGCCTTGGCGATGGTGATAGGGTTTCAGACGGAGAAAGTCCGTCGATGGGCGAACTTGCCTGAGAAGAGCCATGTAGTGATCTACCTCTGCCAGCCTTCCTAGTGGGTCATCAACCAAAGGTCAGGAGGGGGTGACAGGGAGAACACAGTTACAGCCCCCACCCCCCATTCTGTAATCCCGGAACAGAGTATAGAAGACTAGCCATTAAGTCAGCTGTGTGACCTTGAGAGGTCATTTCACTGGTGTCCTTGCCTCCTTTGAGAAGCAGGCAGCTATACGTTATCAAGCCACACTCTGTCCCTGGGCATCATTTCTCTCCTCTGTAATAAGAGTGTGGTTAGACCATGAGAGGCCTCCGGTTTCTTCTGGGCCTAACATTTCCCCAGTTCCACAAAGGACTGGAGGCCTAATCGCTGCTGAGTCCCCCCAGGTCCCTGTGCGATTTGCTCAACACTATGCAGTGTGGATGGACAGCCATGGGGGGAAGTGGCCCCCACTGTCAGGACTCTAGGGGAACGCAGCAGGAGAATTCTAGTACTCTGGTTCATCTGAGCTGGGAGACAGTGCCCACAGTCTGCCGACTAATAAACACTAGATGCGCTTTCCTGTCTTGATTATCTTTCTGCTTCTTCATCAGATATGTAAATGCTTTCAATTTCATGAGCTTGGAGAGAATCAAAACCTTTGACGAACTTTCACCAAACACCACCTCCATCTTCGATGTAAGTAATGGCGATCAACCTACGTGATGCGCTCTTGTGTTTGCCAGACTCTATGCAAACACAACGTCCAGTAACCTTGTGGCAGTAATGAGTAGGGGCTGAAATAACAGTGAAAGCAGGTAGTTCTGCAGTTTGACAGTGACCCCGAAGTTACTCCAGGGCCCGAGTCCTCACCTAGTCATAATTTAGTCCCTTAGGAAAGGTCATTGCGGGTTTCTAAGCTTCTTAGCGATCAGTGATGGAACCCTGCTTGCAGATGAATGCAGGAATCCAACACTGTGAGTAGTTGGGTCTTCCTGATGTAACAGAGAGCTTAGCCTTGAGGCCTGGGAGAAGGCTCCCTAGGCCTTATGCGCCCTCCCACTAAGGTTCTAGAGGCTGAGTAGCCATGTTGCCCCCCAGCCACACTGCCAGTACAGCCTGGCAAACTCGAGGCCCCACCCAGCTCGTACTTCGAAGCTCTGGGCCTTGAGGTTGAGAGAGGAAGGGGAGGAGGAGGAGGGCTGGGCAAGAGTGCACTTCGCTTCAAGACCCTTACATGCAAAGCATGGTCTCCGGGTGAGCACTGTTGCTCCTCAATGGGCTGGAAATGCAGAATCTCGGGCCCCATCCACACGCACGGAGCCAGAGTGTGCACTGTGACAAAGTCCCCGGGGATGGGTGTGCGCAACAAAGCTTGAGAAACACTGGTGATGCCCGTGTCCCATAAAGGGCCGGGGAACCCGCCACAGTGTGAAGGTGATTACCACAGGCACCGTGGCCTGGAGACCTAGCATAGTCATCATTAAAAAGCACCAAAGGCTTCAGAGGGGGAAATGATCAAAACATTTAAAAACATTACAAATAAGCTGCAGCATACAAAAGTAGCTGGAAATTTTGTTTTCCTGCTTTGGTGTTAAGTCCTAGGAAATGATGCTGAGTAAAACATGGACGATTCCTCTCAACCTTAACCCTCCCCACCCGGATTCGTGGGGACCGCAACAGCTCCTTTGCTGGCTTAGGCTTGTTTGCGGATGACTAAGGACATGGACACAACCCAGTAAGAGACTCAAAGGGTGTCAGGAACAAAGTGTGAAGTCCACTCACTGGGAGTGCTGCATTAGCAGAGGAAGGAGGACCTGTGTGAAACCCAGTGCGAAGGATGAACCAACAAGGAAATGGAATTGCTTGGGGCGCCGGCGGGGCTCAGTCGGTTGAACGTCCGACTTCAGCTCAGGTCACGATCTCACGGTTTGGGAATTCGAGCCCCGCATCCGGCTCTCCGCTCTCAGCCCGCTTCGGATCCTCTGTCCCCTCTCTTTCTGTCCCTCTCCCACTTGTGCTCTCTCTCAAAAGGAAATAAAACATTTTTAAAAATTAAAAAAAAAAGTGGAATTGCTGGAAACCAGGACAGCCAAGGGCTTGACAACTGCCTAGGATTCACAAGAAAAAGAATTCATTTTAAACCATGTCTTCATAATTTCTTGGTGGCTATTGTTTGGTTTGGTTTGGTTTGAGAGAGAGTATGAGTGAGCCGGGGAGGGCAGAGGGAGGGAGAGAGAGAGAGGCAGGCTCCAAGCTCAGTGCAGAGCCCAACGCGGGCTTTGATCCCACGACCCTGGGATCGTGACGTGAGCCAAAATCAAGAGTCAGACGCTCAACTGAGCCATGCAGGTGCTCCAGTTCCAGAATTTTTGCACCACCAGATAACCGCATACCCGTAGGTAGTAGTCCTCTGCCAAAATTAGTCTTAGTCTATGTATGCAATAATTTGCATCCAAGTTGACTATAAAAAACGCTCACCTGTTTCTTGCAGTTTCCTCTTGTGTTTAAATGCCTTTTCTTCACCTTCAGGAAGAAGGGCCCCAAGTCACTGGGAATAATAGGCCTTTCTTGTAGCAAAGTGTAGATTTGCCCTGCATGGAGAAAATGCTTGGTCTTAATAGGCGGGTGAGGACAGAGCTTGGAGTGAGTTGGAGCGTGCATCCAAGTACCATCCCCCAGGCCTGGCACGGACCCCTCCGGGTGAGGCAAGAAGTGTCACCGTTTTCCTTCCTCCCTACCAGGGTCACCAGATGGACAATAACTCCCTGCTGGCCTCCCCTGTGCTGAAGCGTTTCACGTGGGCTGAGAGCAAACCCAAGGCCTCCCTGAAGATGGAGTAAGGAAGCTGGGGGTTCTTTTCTGTGACCAGTCGTGGGGGGTTGTGAGGGCAGATGCTGGGGAAAATTTAACGGGGAGATTGGAGGGCTCCTTGCCCCCTGCACTCTAGGGTTCAGGCGTTGCAGAAAAGCACAATTTTCTCCCTCAGAAGGGCAAGCAAGAGGGTATAAGATCAGACATCTGAGCACCGGAGTGGAGAAGGAAGCCTGGGATCTGAGAAGTGAAAACATTCAGGAAAGTCCTAGCAGAGACGGGCGGCCCAAACGCATGAGGCACAGCGCCTCGGCTGGAAGGAGCCTGACCCGCCCCAGCTGTGGCCAATGTCAAGTCTGATGGAGACATGCTTGGGGGGCGGGGGTGGGGGCAGGGAGCTTGCCTGTGATCATACCCTGGGCTGGCAGCGTCAGTACAGGAGGCGTCACAGCCCTGTTCCTAGTACGAACACGTGCCGTCCGGAGATACCAGCCCTTCCGAAGGAAGGCTCGCTTCCTGTTGGATCCTGGTGTTCTCCACCCCTGCAGTGGCCATCGGCAGGGACTGTCGGAATTACTGAGGCTCCGGCCTTTTATTCCACGGGCCCTGCTGTCACTTCAGCCTCCCTGTGCTAGTCTCTACCTAGGACTAGCACCGGACAGGCCATCTATCAGGGACTCCATCCTTCCTTCCCCGGTTCACATGGCTGCCCTGTCTCACCCAAAGGCAGAACCTGCCCCTCTTTTCGTCTAAGTCAAGAGTCAGCAGTCTTTTTCTTCAGAGCCACCTAGAAAACAACCACTCCACCCTGCCTCTGTCGTAGAAGAGCAGCCATCAACAAATATTAAACAAGGAGCTGTGGCTGCGTTCCAATCAACTTTATTTACAAAAACAGGCGGCCGTGGCCAATGAGCACACGAAAAGATGCTTAAGGTCATTGATCATCAGGAAAATGCAAATCAGAACCGTGAGGAGATACCCCTTCACCCCCGCTAGGATGGCTCGAACCAAAAAGCTGGTAGTGGTGAGGATGCGGAGAAATTCTAAGTCTTGTGCGTTGTGGCACGGATGCAAGACGTCCGACCACTTTGGGAAACGGTACAGCATTTCTTCGCCGAAGAGGTTAATTAGAGTTACCCTGTGACACACCGGGTCCCCTCAAGTACACACCCAACAGAACAAAAACTCACGCTCATGCAAAAACTCGTACGTAAATGTTCATAGCAGCGTTATTAACAGTAACCCAAAGAAAAGCAAGCCACATGTCCTTCAGTTGCTGGATAAAATGCAGTATACTCATTTATACTCATAACCTCAAATATTATTTGCCAATAAAAAAAGCACGAGGGGCTGATACATGCTGCAATGTGGACAAACCTTGAAAACATTGTTAAGTGAATGAAACCAGTCACCACAGACCTGGTGTGGTAGGATTCCATTTACGCAAAAGGCCAGGAGTAGGCAGATCTGCAGAAACAAAGTAGATCAGTGGTTGTCTAGGGCTGGGGGAGGGAACCGTGGGGAAGAAGAGCAACTGGCTGTACTGATGGGTGTGGGTTTGGGGGGGATGATGAAAAGGTTCTAAAATCGATGTGTTGATGGTTGCACCATCTATAAACATACTAAAAACCATTTAGCTGGACACTATTTTTTTTACTGTTTATTAATTTTTGAGAGATAAAACGCAAGCAGGGGAGGGGCAGAGAGAGAGGGAGACACAGAAAACGAAGCAGGCTCCAGGCTCTGAGCTGTCAGCACAGAGCCCGACGCGGGGCTCAGACTCACAAACCACGAGATCATGACCTGAGCTGAAGTCAGACGCTTAACTGAGGGAGCCACCCAGGTGCCGCTCAGCTAGACAGGTGAACTGTATCTCAATAAAGCTGTTTAAAAAAAAAAACAACAAAAAGGGGCAGGTGACCAGCCCACAGGCTGTAGTTTGCTGACCTTGATCGAAGTCAAAAGATAGCCCCAAATGCCTCTAAGTGATATAGGCAGCACAATATAACACCACAAGTAAATCTGAAGGGTTGGAACCTGGCCAGGCAAACATCTGTATGGTTTCCTTTTAACATAAGCACCGTGATGGTGCCAGGGCAGAGTCCCCTCAGAGGGTAGCAGATTGGGGACCTCACAAAGAATAAGTGTATACGGGAGGAAAGGAAGTAGGTACCACAACCTTTTGTTTCCTACATTGGAATGCTTATCTGGATCTTTGTGAAGGAAAACCATAAGTCGTACCCTCTACTCTTGAGGTTAAAAATCTAGAAAATGCATGTTGGGGCGCCAGGATGGCTCAGTCGCTTCAGCATCTGACTCTTGGTTTCAGCTCAGGCCTCACGGTTTGTGAGTTCAAGTCCCGAATCGGATAGCATGGAGCCTGCCTGGGCTTCTGTCTCTCCCTCTCTCTCTCTGCCCCTCCCCTGCTCACGGGCACACTGTCTCTCTCTCTCAAAAAAAAAAACTTTTTTTTTTTAAAAAGAAAATGCTTGGCGTGTTAGTCCAGAACCAATCTAATTATGTGGTGGTGCACCGGGTTTTCTCATTCTCATCCCAACTATTAAGAAACAAACATGAGGGCACCTGGGTGGCTCAGTGGGTTAAGCATCTGACTCTGGCTCAGGTCATGATCTCACGGTTCATGAGTTTGAGCCCCACTTTGGGCGAGCTCCTGCCTCTCTCTCTCCCCCCGCCCCTTGCTCACTTGCACCCTCTCTCAAAAAACAAACCAACATGAATGAACAAAAGAAGCTTTTCTTTCTTCTTTTCTTACACTGGATATAAAATACAGCCCCAGAAGCAAGGTTCTTCTCCTTTTGAGCCTTGCTAGTGACAGAGTACCATAACTTACAAGTTTTCTAGAACACAAACATGACAGGGAGACAAGCGTACTAACCTTTTTGTATGAAGCTCGATTCGTTTCTTGAGGCTATTAACACGTTATCACAAACTTGATGGCTTAAACGAAGAGAAATGTATTCTCTTGTGGTCCTGGAGGCCAGAAGCCCAAAGTCAAGGTATTCGCAGAGCCACAGTCCCTCTGGAAGGTTCTGAGGGAGAATCCAGTCGTCACCTTTTCCAGCTCCTGGTTTGTCTGCTCCACCTTCAACCACCGCCTTGTGCGTGTGGCTGTGAATCTCCGTCAGCCGCTCTCCCCAGGACACGTGGGGTTGTGCTTAGGGCCCCCCTGGGCCATTCAGAGCCGAGCCTCAGCTTAACCACCTCTCTCGCCATGGAAGATAATATTCAGTCTCTGGTCACCTCAAGAGATTCAGGGATGGGCGGGGGGGGGGGGGCGGCATTTCTCAGCCTAGCACAGCGGCTAACCGGCCTAAGAGCAAGGGGGGGGCGTACATGTCTTGGAGGTGTTTTCCACCCGAGAGTATGGATTTGCAGTAGCTCATCACACAGGCTTCCCCCCCACCGCCGGGGGTAGGCATCATTCCCACGAGAACAAAGGGAATCTGGCCGGGGGTGGAGATGCAATTCAATAACCGCCAACTCTAGAAAGACCACAAGCGAATGACCTAACAGGAAAGAGCGGGACAGACATGAAGTGTTTGGTTCCAAGAAATCAATTTTGTACGTTTGATTGTTTTTCTCTTCTTGTCTTTCTTTAGCTTGAGAGTAACCAGTAAAAGTAAGGAGTCGGGGCTTTCCAACCTCACACGGGCTCCTTTCTGCCATTCCAGGTGTGGGCACATCAGCAAAGGCAGGCGCAGATTTACATACGACAACTCGGAGCTGGAGAGGAAGATTTCGTGCTGCTCCCCGCCCCCAGACTACAACTCGGTGGTCCTGTACTCCACCCCGCCTGTCTAAAGTCTGGCACGCAGCCTTATTTCTAGAACCGCACAAGTATTTATACTCCCTGAAAACTAGCTTTCGCCAGTATGACACATACGTAAATGTACACCTTGACCTTTCCACAGGAGCGCGCTGCCTGCTGTGATGTTTAATAAGTGCTTCTTTTTCTTTTTGACTAACAAGAATGTAACCCCAGATAGAGTAATAGTGATAAGTAAAGAACACCACTGGTAAATCCTCACATTATTCAGTGTGTTAGAGGAACCCTTATTTCTAAGCCCAGTGACTTACCTGCTCTCCAACCACCCCCCCCCGAGACCGCAGAGCGTTGGAGGATTGAGGAGGTGGCTGATCACGCGAGGCAGCGTGGACTCCACGGGGCCCGCCACCGGAGCCAGGAGGCGACAGCCCGTAAGCTGGCCTACGCCAGGTCTCTGGGGTCCTTCTAGCAGGAGCAACTTCCGTGGAAGGCAGAGAAGGAAGGGAGAAGGGAGGAGAGCACACAGGACGAAGCGTGGAGACAATCTGCGCCGTCCCGTATGGGAAGGGGGTAGCTGAGGGCTGTCAGCCGAGACACTACGACGGCTGCCACACCCCGAGCAAACCCGGGCCACACGGACACCCCAGCTGGGGAACAGCCAGGACAGAGAGGTGAGGGGACAGTTTCTGGATTTTTTTTTTTTTTTGAAACTACAAAACAAATTTGGAAACATTAGCTGTGGGACTGGACCTATGCCCGATCCCATGGAGGGCACATTTTCAAACGTCTAGTGCTGAGCGTGGCGCTCAGATCGGAGCCCGGACCGCAGTCCCCTCCGGCAAGTACACTGCAAGCTCGCCCTGAGCTCGGCGTGATGGCCTCGCCCTTAGCAGACTGCTCCGAGTCGGCTCGCTGGGACGTGGCCGGTCTGTTACGGCTCCCTCTTGGGCTTAAGCCACATTTAAAAAAATCTGGTCAGATCCTCTTTTGAGTATTACTATATAATCAAGACACTTCACTTTTATTATTATTATTTTTTTTTACATTAACCTGTTTTGTCCAGTTAGTTATAAAAGGAAGCTGAGGAGGACGAAAATGAGTCTGGGGGACAGTTCCCTCTATGCCAAAACCAGGATAGACGGAGCGAAAGCAGGATGAGCAGAGTGAAAAAACCCCTCTCTTTCCCAACCAGACCGACTCACTGGAACAGTTGGGGCCCAAAGGAGAGGAAGCCACTCATGTTTCCTTTTGAGTGGGGATTCTGCAATCTCATGCTGGTCTACTGGAAAGATGTGGAAGACTATTAGCCAATGTTTATTAAGCACTTTATGCTCCTGGAGAAAAAAGGTGACATGTAATTTATGCAAGATACTTTTAGAATTGGGACTCAGGATATTAGTTATTGAGCCATCAATGGGAGAAAAGCCTCTTTTCATCTGCTACGGACCTTGCCTTGGGTCTGAGAATGCTGGACGTAGGGAGACAGGGTACAAAAGGGTGCCTACTCTTTGGGGGTCTAAAGACCTTGGATCTCTCAGCTGGCTCTCTCCGATGCTGTGTATTTAGGATGTATGTTACCTTGTAAAGCCGGTCAAAGCTGGACGGGCAACAGTGAATTGCTGCTTCTGGTAGAGAAGAGTATGCTGCCCTTTAGGCAAGTAACTTAACTCTAGAACCTGAAATGTAATAGAAGAATCTTTACTTCCTTCCCTGTGTGTCACATTCCTGTGTCACGGCTCTTAGTATAAAAGGACGGGACAGTCCGCACACCCCCAAGTAAGGAAGCAGGTGGTCCTGTGGGGGCTCTGCTGGAGAAGCATCTGGCCAGCAGAGAAGTGAGGCAGGCCTCTCCACCATGAGCCCAGGCCGGACCAAATCAGGCTAGGCCAGAAGAGGGGCAAAGTTTTGTTCTTTCTCTTCTTCGCACGTACAAAAAGCACCTGTGACAGTTGGCGATAGTATCAATCAGGTCACCAGAAGGAGGTTCATCAGGGAAAATAAAAGAAGACCTCAATCAGCTGTGCCAACTTTTCATATCAGATAAGGATCCAGCAATGAGTGAAAACGAAAACCTTAACTATACATGATATCTTGATTTCAATAACCTAATTCTAAGTTGTTCAAAGACCTCAGTAAAACCATCTTTCCAAAAGAAAAAAAAACACAACAACTTCAGAACTTACGTCAATTCAGCTGCTTCAAAGACTCAGGTTTATAGCCTACATGAGTCCATCGGTTAAAAATGGTTCCCATCTAGAGTGTTCACACAGAAAGGAAAATGGAGGCTTGCAGTAGCCAAGTCTTGCCGCAGACTGGTTCATTAACCAGCACTGAACGTTAAACAGCACTGAAAATTAAGACACTAGTTAACCAATGATATTATTAGAACCATTTGGCATTTACGACAAAGATAGTTGGCACTAACCAGGAAAGCAGCCTTTCCTTTCAGGATCTGTGAGATCACGTTATGTGTAACAGTGTGGGTGGAACGGGACTGAAACCATATGGAAGTCTGTATCTAGTTAAGTCTAAGAAGCGATGCTCAGACCTTAGTTTTAGCCCGTGGAACAAACCTGTCCAAACCCTGAAAAGTGTTATGTAGGTCTTCTAGCTGTGCCTTGTTTCCCAGTCCGTAAAGAGGGTCAAACTCGAACAGATACTTGCCAGCCCCTTTTAGTTGTGAAAGGAGCGCATCTTTGACCGACAGTGGTAGTAACTGTATGTGTATATATGTGTGTGTGTGTTGTGCGATGACTATTTAAGGAAACTGGAATTTTAAAGTTACTTTTATACAGACCAAGAATATATGCTGCAGATAGAAGTAAGACTTAATTTGGTCCTACATCTCTAGTCACTATGAATGTATTTTGTATGCTATCTTCATATAATAAAATTAACTTCCAAAAACATCTGTTTTCTCCAATATGCTTATACATGAAAAAAGGGGGTCACAGGTTTTTCTGTGGGTGTGGAGGGCTGCTGTCCTGGGGGGGGTCTCTCATTGAATACCAGTTGGGGGACACAGCACAAGAAAAATCCAGCAAGCCCGCTGAAGAGAGGGTCAGAGTTTTCTCTCAGTGCCACAAGATGCTGCTCTAAACCATCAGGGTGCTGTCAAAAGCAAATCAAAAGCACGATCACAGCAGGCACATCGCCCAGGGAACAAAACACTAAAATGAAAGCAATCAGAAGTAAAATGTACAGACGGAGTACATGTGCTGGCTGCAGACGGAAGTGCCCTCAATTAAAGAAAGGCTGGTTTTCCCAAACACTAACTTTGAGCTAAGAAACAATCACCATAATTACAGGATGTGTGTGCCCGCTCGTCTGTGTGTGTGCGCAGTAGAGATTGTATGCAGGAGGCCATACGAAATAATTTAGGCAAAAGCCTCAGACACTAGAGCTTCTCTGAGCGAAATTCTTCGCTTTTGTGGATTGTCCTTGAAACCGGTCATACCATCACCTTCCTGAAAGCACCATGAGGAAACTAGTCTGGAGACATGGCTGTACGGGAAAACAGGTCTACTTTTTTTGGGACAAAGGCAAGAAAAAGGAAAAATGACTCTTCCCAGTAAATTTGTGGTTAACTGAAGCGGGCACACAGCATTTAATCTTTGTGAATCTGAAATCCTTTAAAAAGTGTTGGTTTTCATAACATAAGAGTAAAGTCACTCATGTAAGCACATGACTTGAAGAATGCTCGAGGAACTGGTGTCACGTCATAGTTTAGAAATCTTCTCAGGACTCTGGAAACTTACAGGACTTTTGGGAATTGTTTTGTTTTGTTTTTTTCCCTTTCCTTCAGCAGAAGGATCGCCCAGTAAGGTTTATTGGACTCCTCAGTGTTAAACATATTACCAGACTTTTGGGTTTCACAGGCCAGGAAATTTTATGAAAATATCCTGGATCCCAACACAGGGATGACTAACCTTCTATTTTCTTAACTAAGGATATTTTAAGGGTGGAAAAGCAAAACCCAAAACAACTAGAAGGCACAAATACTCTATTTCTTGATCTGGGTGTGGTCCATAGGTGTGTTCGCTTTGTGATAATTCATGGAACTATGTACTTACCTGCAAATTTGTGTGTATCTGTGTGCTATTCTTTGATAAAAGATTAAAAGAAAAAAAAACATTTAATGCCATAATTTTCATAGATGACCAATTTGAAAAAGAGCATGAGCTTAATCTCAGACGAAAATATATTAACTTCATGTGCAACAACTATTCTAAGTGCTTTGAGGAATAAAGTCATTCAATTTCCAAAGCACTCCAATGTGATTGGTACTAGTGGCTACCCCACATCAATGGGAAGGCTGAAGTAATCCAAAGAGCACTTCAAAATCTCACCATCACATGTACCACCTGCCAGCACCCGTACTCACATACCCTGCCTTCCCTTCTGGGTGGTCAATTCACAACATGTCCGCGCACACTTGGATTCCTTCCGGTATTCAAGGACATGACTCCAGCAATTCACCACTCTTTCAAACCCCCCCCTCCCATCAGCCTGTCCCTTTCCCATCAGATCATACAAACAAACATGCTATTATCCCTCCCATGTTTAAAAAAAAAAAATCTTTCTACTTTCCTCTCCAGCTGCGGCCCTAGTTTATTCTTTACAGCAAAATTCCTTGATGTAGTCAGTCTCCACTTCGATCCCCCCCAAGGACTCTTAAACCCACTGAAACCCAGCTCTCAGTGTCACACACTGAAACTGCTCTTGATAAGGTTATCAGTTACCTGCAAATTGCTAAATCCAATGGCCAATTTTCAGTCTCAGTCTTTCTTGACTCATCAACTTGACCCTTATCCTTGAAAATACCCTTTTTACTTTGATTCCAGGACATCACACACTTTCCTTCCGATTCCACTGGTCATTTCCATCCCTCTTCACTAGTTTTCTCTTTTCTCTGACCTTTGAGCACTGTTCCAGTTACTGCCCCCAGACCTTTTCTCCTTTTCCGCTATGCGAACTCCCTTCATGATCTTGACCAATCCCAGGGCTTTAAATGACATCTATATAATGACTTGCAAACTACTGGTACAAAGCAAATCTCTCCCCCAGCCTCGAAATTCACTTGTATGCAAATGTTAAACTGACCATCTCTTGATGAGGTGGCAAACTATTTTCCAAAAATAGCAGCAACCACATCTCCCATCCCAAATGGGAGCAACATGCTCTTGCCACTTCCCCATCAAATTCTTCTCCCCTAGAATCAGACATGCCTTTGTGACTCACTTGCAATCAACAGAATGTGGCAGAAATGACACTGCATGAGGCCGAGGCCAGGCCAGAAGAGATCATGCCCTTTCTACCCGAGTCTCCTGGTACATTCTCCAGAAGCTCCCACTAGGGACCCAGGTGCCAGGATTAGGGAAGCCTCAGCCACACGGTGGGCCCGTGTGTCGATACTTCCGAGGACAGTCCCCACCAGAGCCCAGCCTTTAAGTCATTCAGTCTAGATGTCAGATCAGAATGATTTCAGCCCCCAACCACTGAAATTTTTCCAGCAGAGGCCCCAAATGTAACGGAATAGAGATTAAGCCATCCCAGCTGTGCCCTGTCCAAATTCCTAACCCACAGAATTCCTGAGAATAAGAAAACAGTTGTTGTGTTATGCCACTGAGTCTGGAGTCGTTCATAACAAAACGACATGTAACCACAACAAATGTGTAGTAAACATCTGAAACTGCACACGTCACACCGAACTCCCAACAATCTTTCCTGGCTTCCCCACCCTTCTTGCCCACCCTCTAAAAAAAACCCTTTGTTTCTAAGATGCTCTCTTTCAATTTAGAAGAATCCTCCTTCCTGTCAGCAGAGGGTCAAGATCTGAACAGTGATTCTGACTTCTTTTCTCACTCCATATCCAATAATTGAGACATCCTTTTGGCTCAATCTTTAAAATAATCAGGGGCACATGGGTGGCTCAATCAGTTAAGTGTCGCACTCTAGATTGTGGCTCAGGTCATGATTTCAATTTGTGAGATGGAGCCCTGTGTCAAGCTCTGCGCTGACAGCATGGAGCCTGCTTGGGATTCCGTCTCCCTCTCTCTGCTCCTCCCCTGCTGACCCTCTCTCTCAAAATAAAGAAAGAATAAAAATAAAGTAGGGGTGCCCAAGTGGCTCAGTCAGTTAAGTGTCTGACTTCGGCTCAGGTCATGATCTTGCAGTTTGTGAGTTTGTGCCCCGTGTGGGCTCTGTGCTGACAGCTCGGAGCCCGGAACCTGCTTCGGATTCTGTGTCCACACCCCTCCCCGCACCGCCCTTGCCCCGCTTGAGCTCTGTCTCTCAAAAATAAACATTTAAAAAAATAAATATATTCAGAATCCAATCACTTGGTGCCACTTCTACCACCAGGTCCAAATCCCCGCCATCTTTCGCTTGAAATATTGCAAGAGCTTCCTAACTAGTAGCCAAAGTGATCCTTTTTAATTGTATCAGGTTAGTCTTCTGCTTACAATCTTTCTGCTTCTCCTTTCAACGTGAGTAAGCACCCAAAATGGTCCTAAAATGTTCTACGAGGCACAGCCCCTTCCCCATTACCTTTCTGATTTCACTTCCTACTCAGGCTGCTCTAGTCACACTGGCCCCCTTGCCATGCCTCAGATATGCCTGGCACATCCTCTGACCAGGAACTCTCCTCCCTCCCATATCCACACGGCTGGCTCCAATACCTCAAATCCTTGCTCAAATACCACCTTCCCAGTAAGACCTACTCCCCAGATCATCCCATGTGAAATTCCAGTACCGTCCCACCCCCCACATCTAGAGTTGCAAGATGAAACACAGGATAGACAATTAGATTTGAATTTCACATAAACGATTTTTTTAAGACAAATATGTCCCACGTTAATACTTGAGACATACATAAGGCTAAAGAAGAAATTATCCATTGTTTACCTGAAACTCTAATTCAACTCTGTGTTCCGTATTTTTATGTGCTAGATCTGGCAACCCTACCCACATCCTTAGCCTACTTTACTTTCCCTCCATAGATTATTACCCCTTAACGTGCTACGCACTCGGTCTTCTTCCCGCTAGAATGGAAGCTGCATGAAAGATTCGTCTGCTGTGGTTGCAGTTGCTCGGTCGGTTCCTCTAGAGCAACGCCTGACCTAGAACAGGCATTCGGGAAATGCTGAATGAATGAGTGAATCCAGTCATTCATTGCACTGTGTGAGGCGCTGGCGCCTTGTATTGCCAGTGCTTTCTTACCCACCATGCATACTGCTCTTAATGGATTTTAAGGACGTGTTTTAACGGCCTTTCTTCACTGCCCCTCTTCCCCCAAACCTGTACAGGAGGACCGGTTACAGATACAGCCCTCAGTGTGCAGCTGCTGAAGGGGGAGGGAAAACACTGGGTTTTGACCATTCAGAGCACAGGACATGAAAAACAACAAAGCCGTTTTATCCCCATTTAGAGACGTAACACTCACATAGCTTTCACAATAATGTGTTTCATGTTTTCTCGTAAGAAATTTAAATCTCTCTTAAGAAATTTAAATTTAAAAGAGAAATTTAAAAGATCCCCAGAACATCCTCTATTCTAGGCAGAGTCTCCCTTCTTCCCCTTGAACCTACAATGGTCATTTTGATTTGCCACTGAATCCACTGTTTTTTTTTTTTTTAATTCAAGACCCTTCTACACTTATTCTCGCTCTTCTCTGAATTTCTAAAAGACAACTCACCAGTTCCTTCAGTTGAAAATAAACCCCCTTCTCTTTAAGTACCCCTCAATTAGGTCTCAAGTCCCTTATCACTTTCTATTCTGTTTTTCAACTTTTCATTTCAAATGTATAGGAAATAAACACAATAAACCCTAGGTACTCAGATTCAACAAAGGTTAACAAGTCTGCCATTGAAAAACATCTACCCTCAGGGTGCCTGGGTGGCTCAGTCGGTGAAGCACTGACTCAGGTCATCATCTCACTATTCCTCAGTTCGAGCTCCAGGCTCCAGGTTCCGTGCTCAGGTCAGGCCTGGAGCCTGTTTCAGATTCTGTGTCTCCCTCTCTCTCTGCCCCTCCCCCGCGAGCACTCGTATCTCTCTCTTTCTCTCTCTCTCAAATAAACATTAACAAAATTAAAAACACATAAAAAATTAAAAAACCTAACCCTTAGATTCTGAATAATGCTTCTGGAGGACTTGGGGGAGAGGCACTCTTCACCTATAAATTACCTACGCTGTGCATCGGAGGCTAGCCACATAGCATTCCCTATCCTTCTTTCCTAAATTACAGTGCAAGCCACACATTCTACAGAATTGCTTGGGTAGGACTATATACTTTATAAATAACAAGTACTCATATCTGCATTCTTAGCACCCAGAATAGATCCAAGTAGGCACTTAGCAGCTATCTGGTAAACTAATGAATAAGTCTGCCACCAAGTCCTCCAAACACACAGGAAATATTCAGCCTTTTAAATCCCAAACACAAGGCAAACGTAATCTTGTTAAATGAACTGGTACCCCAGAAAAGGACGAACTTCTCTGTAATTCTTTATTAAAAATATTGCTGTACACATAGAGACTGAAAACAGGATTAAAGATGAATAACCCATATTGGGACCATGACATTGGAACTTAACATACTGGTGCTTTTAGGGAAGTTGTTGACATCCAAACCACAGAACCAAGGTCAAAAGCAAAATACAAAGGTACCCTCAAATATATTTACAATGAAGTAAATACACTACCAGAATTTAAAATAGGTACAAAAAATTGAAATGACCAATGTTACATGATTTCAAGGGTTGTCCTTTCTGTGCTTTGATCTGTCGTAACAGGAAGGTGTGAGACGTTTGTATCCTTAATTTGACTAGTCTCAGATATTACAATCTTCCTATGAATTAAAAAGACTACCTTTGAGACAACCTCTTAAATGGAATTACACTATGGAAAGAGGGCTCCCCAAAAAAACACCTAGGCAGAATAAGAGTTCTACTGAAAAACCATTCCCAATAAAAACTAAATGAAAAATAAATATAAAACAAAGCTTAAAAAAAATATGTATTACCTGACACCAACTGTTTTCTGGCCGACAATATTTACTCATGAAAACATATCAGCTGTCTACCTTTATATTCAAACCAAGTCCTGAGGTTACTAGGGGCTGAAGCAAACTAGCACTTAGGATGCGAACATTCTTGGGTTTGTGATTTGAACTTGCCTTGCAGAGGGAAGTTTGCTGGTCGATACAGGATGAGAAATTCAAGCCCTATTTTACCCCTGCCCTTCCTTATTAGCTTTCACAAAACATTGGTCCACAAATTAAATTTTCAAAAAGTTCCCAGACCCCAAAACTAAAATAGATGATCCCCTTTCATTTTCAAAGAAAACAATATCGGAAAAAATCTCCAGCCCGCTTATAAATTAAGCATTTCATATTTCTTCTAGAATACAAGTAGTTCTTTTTTGTACAAAAGAATTACAATATGATTTGTCAAAAAACATATAAAAAGACAGCTGCTCTTCCTCAAATACATGAGCTAATGATAAAAGACTTTTGCATGTTAACGTCTCCAAGTTCTTGTTCCTTTTACATAAAAAAAGAACATCATGGTGGCAAATGTTAATTATCCTTTGAATATTGAACATTATGTTCTTTTAAAATCCATCCAGATCAAATGCAATAATTGATTTTCTTTTTAACTCAACAACTGATGCTACCAAACGTGGACTCAAACACACTTGTTAAAATGTGTAAAGCATGTCTTTAGTCTTCAAAGCTTTCAGGTGAAGAGAGGTGGGTTTTTTTTTCTTGATGCAAATCTCAAGGCAGAGAAAATCATTTTAAAGCTTATAAAAAGTGGACAGAGAAATATTAAAAACTTCTCTGAAAACTACAAATATGTGTAATTATTAAAATTGAAGACCGTAACATCAGTTGCAAGTGCTTGGAAGTCTTTCCTGACCTTTTGAGTTTCCACATTTTCTTCATAGTTGCATGGTGAGCACCCAGTGCTAGTAAAACATTCAGTGCTGGGAAAGGAGATATAGTCTTCATTACTGTTTTTGTTTTTTGTGGTTTTTTTTTTGTTTGTTTTTTTGTGAAAGAAAACTCCTATGTATTTGGCAGTCTTCGGTATCAAAGTATAGGTATTTCATTAACTAGAAATTCCATGAATACCCAAGTTTGGCGACATCTGCACGTCCAAATATTAAGAAAGTTAAGAGGAGGAAAATTTCAAACTTTTGAGATTGACTTATTCAGGAATATCCCACATAGTGAAGTTATTATCAAAAGTACTATGACTTTGGACTAAGCAGTGACTGCAAAGGCACAGCAGATTGTTATCCCTCCAGATTCAGGCTGTAAAACTTCAGAAAGCTCTTGATGCCAGACCACTGCTGTGTTTAGTTCATCTTCTGAACAGTGTCTCTGTGTCTGTATCCAGTGTAAAGTACCATAATAAAGCTGTGGTTCAAAGAATAGAACTTTATACAAAAAAGCAAACTGGAAATAATCTAAAGCAATATGCTCCTGAACTTCAGGCCTTGAACACAATTTAATTTTTTTCTATTAAAAAAAAAATTGCATAAATGTAAGTATATCTGACGATCAGGGAAACGCCTTTAAAAAAAAAAAAAAAAAAAAAAGACTCTGGTTAAATCTGGAGCCAAGAGCTCTATGTGCTCTTTAAGTTCCTGTTTCTCCAATCCTTATTCAGAAAGGATTTAAATCTACTAATACGGGAATGCGTATCCAACAATTCACTGATCTTTCTCTGTTCTTAAAAACAAAACAAAACAAAAACCCCAAAATCTCAATTTGAACTAACAGTGGGTGGCATACAGAGCTTGCATACAATACTCTTACAAGAATGACACACTAGACGGTACTTCTGAGAAATCATTTACCTGGTCCATCATGTTATTCAGGGCAACCCATCCCCAAAAGAGCAGATTCTGCAACCCTCAGTGACCAAAATGCTGCCCATCATTGTTTCCCAAAAATGTCCTTGCAAATAGTTTCCCTTAATAAGTATACAATGTGGCAAAAGTTCAAAGATCAGAAAAAAGTCTTTAAAAAATTAAAATTAGTGCATATACAAGTGGGAAAAAATCAAAAGCCGGAACATCATTCACCTAATGATGCTCCTTAATCTAAAATAAAATCTTCACAGATATGGCCCCGACGGCAGCCACAGCTCTAGGGTAAGGGAGACATTCTTCCTTTCAAGTAACAGTGTACCTGACTGAAGTGCAAGCAGCTACGCTCATCTCCTGTCTGCCCCCCAGACGTGACGCGAGAGGGTGAGGACAGTTCAGCTGGAGTGCAGTGTGCTCTGGGCCAGGGTCCTCAGCCACGTCCTGCGTGCTGTTTCAGCAAATACTACAACTGACCGTTTGCGGCTGCGATCAGTTCCTGAAAAGTGTTCTCAAAGCAGCGCTTTAAGTCACTGTAAGTCACCACAAGTACACTCTTCTCGTCTCTGGAAATGAGGCTGATTTTTTCTGGCACACCAGCATCTAACTGAAACAGACGGAGACACAAAATATGAAATTCATACCAGGCAGAAGAGAATCCACTTTACCTATTTTAGGGCAACTTTTGCAACAATGGTAAATTATTTTAAAAATTTCTGTCCTGTTCCCTTTTAGATGCACATTAACATTTTACATCACTAACCAGTATGCACACTTTCCAACTCAGATGTTTTTTTAGAGTCCAGTGTTTCCACCTATCTTTTCATACTTGTTGGCATTATATTCCATCATTTAATTATTCCTTCCATTCTTTTTTTTTCCCCCCAAAGTAAGCTCAACGCCCAATGTGGGCTTTGAACTCATCACTGAGAGATCAAGAGTCACGTGCTCTACCGACTGAGCCAGGCAGCCGGCTGCCCCAGTACATTCCAACTGTCTTGTGTGACAGATGCCAGTGCAATGAACAGTCATCTAATTTGTTTTCTTCTGTGGAATTACTTCCTTAGGAGAAATACTTCAAATATTCATAATGAATCAAAACGTACGAATAATTTTACAGCTTAACCCGTAGAGCTAAACTGTTTTCCAAAGGGTATCAGAAACCACCGAATTATGAGTTGTACCGATTTCCAAGCAACTCCATATCAAATGCATACCTTGAGATTTTTATTTACATTTTCTGATATTACCAAATGTTTTCATACATTTACTTATGTTATTTCCACTTGTGTGAATGCCAGTTTATAATCTTTACCACTCATCTGTCAAGATTTGGTAGTAATATTTTAATGAGGTCTTTATAAAGCATCTATACTAATCCTTAGGTCATCAAATAACTTATCTTAGGTTTTTACTTTTTTTGATTAGTTTGCAATGTACATTTTCCTTCCTTTTCATTACTTCATTCATCAAAATGTTTAAAATTTGCTAATCCTGAACGCTCAAACTTTCAAATCATTTTACCAGCTTGTCATAATTTCCATCAAAATACACTATGTAAAATTTTACTTTTTATATCACCAATATGGCCATCCATGCTGTTTAATTTGTTACACTCTTTTCAAACTTAGAAAATTATCACACTTTCAGATTTGGGGTAAGTTTTACTTACACTTATTTTATGAAGTGAAATAAGAATTTTCAAGTTTTTAATTATCATAATATTCATTAGATAATCTTCAAGCAAGAGATCTGTCTGTGGCTTAATCTCCGAGGATCTGCTTGTCAGTGTTTCAGCAGTGCTACATATTTGTAATTACCACTGCTCTGATACCATGGGTACTATTTTCTAAAATCTGGTAGAATTATTTGCCACTCACTGCTTTCAAGAAAAATGTTTTCCCCTTAAGGGACGGCAAACAAATACACACTAAATTAGTTCAATGGCACATTTAGTTTGTTCTGTCTTAATGAAGATTATTCAAACAAGGCAACATCGTGCTTAAAAATAAAAAGCACATTCCCTGAGGAGTCAGCACCCTGGACATGAAAGATGCTACCCCATGTGCCACGGCAGGTATTTCCTCCTCTAGGGCTTCTAATTTAGGGGCAGTTTAGACCAGGGCTCAGCAAACGGTCTCCATAAAGATGGCCAGACAGTAAACGCCTAAAATTTCAGGGCCGTGTACAGTCTCTGTCACATATTCTTCTTAGTTCTGTGTTTGCTTTTTGTTTTCACGATCTTTTAAAAATGAAAAAATTTTCTTCACTTACAGGCTCTACAAAAAACAAAAGACAAAAAGCAGGCTGTCCAGCCCGTTTGCAGACCCCTGAGATGTAGCTATAAACCTATCTACAAAGACCAGTATTCACTTCTGGAGACCTGTTCTACTGGAATTCCAAGTAATTCATAAGGAAAACGCATTCCTTCTTTCCTCTGGGAACTGTCTCTCTCCTAGACCTTTCCAAAACAGAAGGTCACCTCTCAAATGAATGTACGATGTATCCCCATCTACTCAGTCCACCTCAGCACTTAACTGTCCACTCAGAACACTGGGCCTCCGGGGCTTTCACTACGGCAGTGCTGGGCCCCTGTGCCCGCAGCTCGTAGTAAAGGAGTGTAACGTGTAGGACACCGAACATGAAGGACTCAGAAAAAAGGGATTCAACTGTTAAAAAAAAAATTTCAACAGTAAATTTTTGCTTTTCTCACTCCTTGCTTTCGTGACATTTTATCACAATAAAAAGATCCACAATGAAAAATCCTGTAATTATTCATGTAGCTGTTAAAAAAAAAAAAGGCCTGCCTAGTCTAGAAATTAAGTAGATACCCCTAACAATTATTAATACAATGTCTTTTGGCTGTCTAGACTACATCTACGTGTTAGGTCTCTTAGTATTTAAAGAAGACACAACTCTGCACTGCGATCTTAAAAATCTAGATACAAATTACCTTGTTAAGACAAGAAATGATATGGCTGAGGTCAATCCAAGGGGCACCCGCTTCTGTCACCTGATGGAAGAGATGATCCCTAAAGAGTTTCAGCAGGTAGCGGTCTCCAGTCTCCGACCAGGTGGGATCCTTCTGAAACCTGGGGAAGGTCATATTTACCTCAGTAACTCATGCTGTGTGCCACACGGCTATGTTGATTCTTCAGACTCAACAATGAAGTTTAATTTTATTGTCTTCCTGATAAACAAGTATGGTGTGTGTCTGTAGTGTTTTATCGTTTTTTTTAATCCTCCAAAAGTTATAGGGAAGCTAAAAAAAAATTGCCTTTTTCAAATTTTAGGTGCCAACTGCTAAATATTTAAAAAATAATTCCATGGGGCCCAAGGGTGGCTCAGTCAGTTAAGCCTCTGACTCTTGATTTCGCCTCAGGTCTTGATCTCCTAGTTCATGAGGCTGAGCCCCACACTGGGCTCTGTGCTGACAGCATGGAGCCTCCTTGGGATTCTCTCCTCTCTCTGCCCCTCCCCTGCTTGGGTGCACGCACTTGCACGTGCTCTCTCTCCCAAAATAAACTTTAAAAAAACAATAATTTCATATAACATGAAAGTATATGAAATCCAGTTTCTAATTTTTTTTTTAATGTTATTTCTAGGAGAGAGAGAGACAGCATGAGCAGGGGAGGGGCAGAGAGAGAGGGAGACACAGACTCCGAAATAGGCTCCAGGCTCTGAGCTGGCAGTCAGCACAGAGCCCGACGCGGGGCTCGAACCCACGAACCGCGAGATCATGACCTGAGCGAAAGTCGGACGCTTAACCGACTAAGCCACCGGGGCAGCCCTCCAGTTCCTAATTCTTAAGGGTAATCAACCCTTACACACTATTTTATAATTGCTTCCTTAGTTAAGCTCCTACCATTAGATAAAATGGAGGGAAAAGAAAATGTCTTTAAAAATATTTAGAAAGAAGTTGAAAGAGATTCTTTTCCTCTTCTTGCCTTCATGATACATACAGAGTAGAGAGATATGACCAGATACGTCTTCCACTTTACTGGTGGCGTCAAACAGAAAAACGTTTAAGGAAACGGAAGGGCAGATTCTGGTGTCCTGGCATCATGAGCAGATGTGAGAGCGTGGACACCGGGACAACTGACTGATGATCAGTTAGTTTCCAGTCACTGCTGGAACCTACGGTCTAGTGAGTCAAACAGTGTTCAAAAAACCAAAACAAAAGTTTCTGAGTGCATGTTCTGACAATGCCATTAAGAAAAGGGAAGGGAGAACAGCAGCGTGAACTGTCCCGGCAGACAAGGCAGGCTCTCCAGAGGACGCAGCGGACGCCCTTCCCAGAAGGACCAAGGGTAGAGCCTGCAGCTTCAGACACTTCACAAAGCTCAGTGCAGCCGGAAGGGGTTTGGGGAGGACAAAGAGAGAGGCCAGGAGAGGGACAGAGTAACTCCCGGGAGGGGGAAGCGAAAAGACAAGGGCAAAGAGGGACAGAAGGAAAGACAGCAGAGGAGAAAAGTAAAAGAAAAAAAAAAAAACAAAAAAAAAACCAGACATATCTGAAGCAAAGATAAGAAGAGAGAGATCAGGATATGCAGCCTTGGTTAAAAAACTAAGGTTTTCTACAAACGAGAAGGAAGGGCACCTCGGTGGCTAAGTCAGTGAGGCGTCTGACTCTTGCTCTCAGCTCAGATCATCATCTCATGGTTCGTGAGCTCGGGCCCTGCTTAGAAGGCTGTGCACTGACAGCACAGAGCTTGCTTGGGATTCTCTCCCTCCCTCTCTCTGTTCCCCTACACACACACACACACACACACACACACACTCTTTTTCTCTCTCTCCCTCTCTCTCAAAATACATAAACTTAAAAAAAAAAAAAATTGGAAAGCCCACCACTTGGTTTAAACGCAATCATGGAAGGGGCGCCTGGGTGGCTCAGTCGGTTAAGCACTGGACTTTGGCCCAGGTCATGATCTCACAGTGAGTAGGTTCAAGCACCATGTTGGGGGCTCTGTGCTGATAGTTTGGAGTCTGGAGACTGCTTTGGATTCTGTGTCTCCCTCTTTGCCCCTGCGCTGCTTGCACTCTGTCTCTCTCTCAAAAATAAATAAACATTAAAAAATTAAAAAATAATAAACACAATCATATAAGATTTTTGCAAAGTTCACTCTAGGGACTTTCCATTAAAAGTCTAATTAAACACACTCATTTTATCTCTGTTTCCTTTCAAAACCCCACCAAATTGGCAATGAATGTCTAATAAAGGATATAATAGACACTCAAGGACAAAGTGATCAGAAGCAACAAAAGAAGAAAAATCCACAAAAAAACGGAAGGTGAGGCACAGACCAGTAAGTGGTATGATGGTGACTTGAGGAAGGCGCAAAAAAGGGGAGCCACAGACGTGAGCCACTCCACTGAGACCCAGGCAGGGAAATCGCTAGGTACCACTCAAGTGCAGGTACGGACTGAAGCTGGAAGCAGCAGAGCTAATGAAGAATTCTGTAAGTAAGAAACAGATAACTGCTCTCTGATCCCTGCCTCCATATCTGCTTTGCAGAAATCTGCCGGAATTGCTACCAGAACTCTGCCAGAATTGCTACCAGAACTCTCTGCAGACAGAGTGCACAGAGCAGCTGCCGCCTCCAGGGTGCCAGGAAGAGTAAGGGGCGGCAGGTAGAACTGTCAGCACCTTCCTGCTGCCTGGCTCCCCAAAGCCTGACTGTGCGTTTACACTACGGACAGGAGGCTGGAAGATCATTTTCTGGATGCTAACTTGCCCAAGGGGAAGTCTGACATTTAAGAGTCGACCAAAAACAAACAAAAATTACACAAAAATTAAAAATATCACACTGCTTTACCACACACTCTACAATCTTTGACACCACAAGGAACTTACCGCTAGCTTTTTAGACGAAAAAGGACATTTCTTAAAGTAAGTTTATTTAGCTTTTTAGTGATTTCCACACCCAACGTAGGGCTCGAACCGACAACCTCAAGATCAAGAGTCGCATACCCTTCTGAGTCAGCCAGGTGCCCCCAAAAGGTCACTGTTAACATGAACGCACATCCAAGGATCAGAAATCTGCTGGAGAATGGAATTAAGCAAAACAAACTCTTGTTTCCTATGAGTACTGCAGGGAGCAGAACAAAACAAAACCTAACCAAAACCTGTAATTGAGACTGTCACACAAACAAGAATTGGATGCTATAAGACAGAAACATTTAAAGAGGGGCGCCTGGGTGACTCAACTTCAGCTCAGGTCATGATCTCATGGCTCATGAGTTTGAGGCCCGCATCAGGCTCACTGCTGCCAGCACAGAACCCGCTTCTGATCCTTCTGACTTTCTCTCTGCCCCTCCCCTCCCAATCAAGCGCTCTCCGGCACTCTCTCTCTCTCTCTCAAAAATGAGTGAACGTTAAAAAAAAAAGAAACATTTAGAGAACAGAAAGTTCTTGAAAATTAAAAATATGACAGCAGAAGCTTAAAAATTCAAAGAAGGATTAGGAAAAAACCTTTACTTTTAGACAAAGTAAGTTGAGATAATTACCTCAAAGTAGAACAAAAAGATACCCAAAACAGAAGAGGACATTAGAAAACTAATGACGGTGTAATACCTGAGTAACAGGAATTCCAAAGAGAGAAGCTATCAAAGAAACAATGAAGACAACTTCCCAGAACTGAAGGACCTAAGTTTACCCTGGGGACTCATCAGAATGAATAAAAACCCTACACCCAGGCTTCTCACTGTGCATTTCTGAATGTCTTTCTGAAAGAGAAGATCCTAAAAGCACAGAGGAAGGGAAAAGGTTTGAAAAGAAAATAGCTTTGAATCTGGAAGTTAAAAGACAATGGAGCAATGCTTCAAATGCTGATAGAAATGATTGTTACTATTACTTAACTAGGTCCTAGAGGCACTAGCTAACACCGTCACTCCAGAGCAACTGAAACTACAGAAATTAGAGAGCAGGATATGTAGCTAGAGTTATCTCAAGATATGACTTTGTATCTGGGAAACTCAAGAAATCTAGCAAAAAACTAAACACTAAGGTATCAGGGCACAAATTCTACAGAAATCAATAGATTTCATGTGTACTGAAATAGGCAATCTAAGAAGAAAGAATGGCAGGGGTGAGGAAGGGAGGGAGGGGATTCCCACTTACATTAGCAACAAGAAAAAAACCCCAGTAAACTTAGTGTGCCACTACAATATAAGGAACAACTTAAGCACCGAAGGACAGTAAAGTAGGTGTCAATGAATACAATGATGTACATACCATTATGTTGGTTAAGAAACTCAACATCTACAAACACAAATGCTCCTTTAGGTTTATTAATAAACATGTCATCTCAATAAAAATACCATCAGATTTATTGATTTTTTTTTTAACTAAAAAAGCTGATTCTAGATTCTATATAGAAAATTAAACAGCTTTAGGAAACAACAAAAAACAGACAATGAAATGAAGCTAAGAAAGAATGAACACTACCAGCTTTTAAAATGTCTATCAAAAAAAAAAAAAGTCATTAAGGGGCGACTGGGTGGCTCAGTCAGTTAAGCATCCGACTTCATTTCAGCTCATGGTTCGTGGGATCAAGCCCTGCATCAAGTTCTGTGCTGACACTGCAGGGCCTGCTTGGGATTCTCTCCTCCCTCCATCCGTCTGTCCATCCCAGTCCGTCCTTCCCTCTCTCTGCTCTTCCCCTGCTCACCTGCTCATTCACTCTCTCTCAATAAATAAATAAACATTAAAAAGAAACATTAGTCATTAAAATACTAATGTGAAAGAAGTATTGTCTTAAACCAATGGAGAAAAGTTAGGCTACTCAATAAATAGCTTTTGGGCCACTAGACGGTCTTCTGAGAGGGAAGGGTGGGGAGCTGAATACATACCTTACATCCTATAGAGATTCCAAATATATAAAAATTTAATATGGGGAAAAAAAACCCATAAGTACACTAGAAGAAACTATGAGAAAATTCCTGTAGAAAAGGCCTTTCTAACTTTCTATGATTCAAAATCCGAAAGGATACAAGAAGTTTGATCAATTACACTACACATATAAATGTCTGCGTGGAAAAAAAAAAAAACAACAACAAAAAAAGAGAAGAGTCAAAAGAAAAATGACAAATTAAAAAGAAAATAATCAGAAAGGACAAATCTCTCTAGCTCCTATACATCAAAATGAGAGAATTCAACTTAAAACAAAAATGAGCCAACAACATGATCAGATAGAAAAGGAAACAGAAACAGATCAAAAACATAAACATAACAGGCAGCATGCTCCTTAAGAGTACATACAAAATAAAACTGCACTGAGATTCAGTTTCTCATCCATGAGGTGGGCCAAACTCCACAAGCTTGAGGAAGTATTGTTGGTAAAAGGCTTGCTGCAAGGGTTCATGGTCACACATCCACAGACCTAACGATCACAACTGGGTCTATATTTATGCACACATAAAATTAAGTATGCACAAGTCAGTCCCTGCAGCACTGATTATACTAGCAAAACAGTAAAAACAACTCAAATGCCTACTGACAAGGAACTAGAGCAATAAATTACAGCACATCCACAGAGTGGACGATTACATGGCTACAGATTACAGAGGCACAGAACAGTGGTCAAGAGCACCGACTCTGGAACCATATTGTCAGGATTTGAATCCCGGCTCATATACTTACTTATTATGTGACCCTGGAAAAGGTGTTTCACCTCTCTATGCCCAAATATGTCTGTTAAGTGAGAATACTAACAGTACTTGTATCACAAGGTGGTTATGAGGATTAAGTTAGGTCATATTTGTAAACTACTGAGAATAGTGTTTGGTATACACTAAACATATCTGAACAGAAGAGAGCTCCAAGACAATACAGAGCACTGCACAGTTTATAATTTGTATATATTAAAAAGTGGGGTGGGGGAGGGTGAAAGGAATTAAGAACATGTTGTAACTCAGGAAGAATATGAAATAAAGATCAGTAGGAGAAAATGGAGAGATTGGGGAGGTTACAAGTATGAGAGAGTTCTTTTCACTGCAAACCCTTTTCTACTTTATACCCAATTATCCTGTCAGGAAGTGAAAAAACAGAATACGGTATCTTCAGACTTACAGAGACTCAAAAAACTCAGCTTTCTCAGGAAGCTTTTTTTTTTGCTCCAACAAATCAAAAGAATAAATCAAGGAGAAAAGCAAGAAATGGGGGATCCAACACAAAGGGAGAGGCGATGAGAACTCCCAGGCTAAGAGTGAAGGGAAGCTCCCGTTCTGAAGACTGAGTGTGCGCAGGCTTACAGCACAACCCGCCCACGTAGGAACATGACAGAGGCTCAGGAGCAATCTCTTGAGGGGGAGTAAAAAAAAAAGGAACTGATAGGTTACCTATTTTTGACCATATGGAAAAGTGTTTCATAACTCTGGCAGAGAGTCTGGAACAAACTGGTGGTCAGTATTTTTTCATTTGCTTACCAGGGTTCTATAATAGGCAATTATTAACCCCAGGAAAACAAAAATCAAAAAACAAAATACAAAAGAAAGGAACTATAGTCATGGTTTATTTACTATGTGGTGCAGGTATGAACAATATTTACCCTGTTATACTAATGTCAACATAGAATAAAAGATTTACCTCAAAACTTATGGGTTAAATGGTAGAACGTGAGCGTGAGCGTGTGTGTGTGTGTGTGTGTGTGTGTGTGTGTGTGTTTGGTTAAGGAAAAGGGGCATGAAAGACAAAGCCTGATCTCCCATAGGACAAAGTCATTAGCTGAGTTAAATACTTGAAAAAAAAAAAATCAATAAGTAGTATCATAAGCATACTGTTTTTAAATAAAGAGGTAAGTGCCAGAAGAAAAAACTAAAAGGTTTTTTTTTTCTAATGTCATCTTCTCTTCGGTAAATACTGAGTTTTGTAACTATGAAGAAAGGTAAATGAATATGAATTTCGCAATGGATGGAAGGAAGGGAGGGAGGGAGGGAGGAAGGGAGAAAGGAAGGGAGGAAGGAAGGAAGGAAGGAAGGAAGGAAGGAACCTCAAGCAGTACTGATGTATCACCTATCTCTATTAACAGAGGTAACATTCCTGAAACATAACTTATGCTACAGTGACAGGAGCGATAATATGTTGGGCCTGTCTTTGACAGTTACTATTCAGCACAGACATCAACTCTCTTTCTTTCTTGAACCTATGGTAAACTTTAACTTACAAATGAGTCAGAACTAAATGACAATGTAGGGTGGTACTGCCTTTCCAGTGTCAGTGATATTACAGCTATATATATTATTTACATGATGCTCTTAAACAAGATAAGGAGCATGCAACAGGTAGGTGTGAAATCTCTAGTCTGACTAACGTAAACTGAACTGACCCAGGCTTCAAAGAAGAAACAGGGCAGAGGTAGTACCGTGAGTCACAAAACGTTCCCTGTGTACAAACCACAGTATCTTCTCTGTGTGTGTATGTGCTGTGGAGTCCCTGAGAACTACCAGATGGAGGCTGCGGTTAGAAAACAGCGTCCTGATGGCTAATGACAGGCTTAAGGTCACTTCACATGAGAATTTTTCTTTTTCCAAATAAAACCAGTGAGAATCAGGTATACTCATTCTTGTTAACGCACTTGATTGAAATCATATTGTAAAATACTGTAAATCCTTACTCCGGCCTCTCATTGATTGTTCCCAATTTTGCTAGAAGCCTAAACAGTCTTCCATTTTGAACCTCCTATAAGACATTTTAAAAAGAAAGAGAGTATTAATATTCCAACTATAAAAGCAAAATTTTATAAAACGGGTATCCTACATCAATATTACCTTTAAACCGTAAATCCTAATATCCCCACCTTTTGGTTAGCATTTTGAATATAACATGTCCATTTCACTCAATATTAATACTCAAGAAGATCACACAGCTGGTCATTTTTAGGAATGGGTAAAGTAACTTACATGAAAAAGAAAAATCAAGATTCTGTCAATTAACTGTAGCAAAGCCACTAACAAAAAGAACACAAATGCCTAGAGGACATAAGAAATTTTAAATCTTTTTTAAAAAATTAAAGTATCTGCCAACAGTCTTAGCCAATTCAGCGTAAAAATTGTTTTCTATTTCTTTACACATACAGATGTAATTGTATGTATCTCTTTTTAATTCTTTACCTTTGCAAGGTCTTCCTCTATGACATCATTTCTCATTTGAGCAGCATCCAACTGAGTATAAAATCGAGCACCAATCATGGGCATGATGTCATTTACACTTCGCATCCTGTTTTGGTCAGTCAACAAATACCTAGCGAAAATAAAGAACCACCTGAATGCCAAGTGTGCAATTTAAAAAAACAACACAACCCACAAGCACACAGCTATCGCTGCTGCCATCACATTAGTGTATACAATTGGGAAAACAGTTTTTCATCAAGTCAACTTCACTTTTAAGGTTTAATGACTTCTCTGGAAAACTTTAAGAGCCCATGGAAGAAACTGTAAACATGCCTCTTTCTCTACATTTTTGCTATTATGAACATGAGAAGGGTGGAGGAGGGTTACACTTAACCACTTGCATTCTCAAACCCTTCCTTACGATAGTGGGGCATGAAAAGACTGTTACACGCTTTTTGGGGGGTGAAATAGGGAGTAGTTGTAGATGAAGAGATTTTTCCACTGCCTTTCAAAATAATTTGTGTCGGGGCGCCTAGGGGCTCAGTCCGTTGAGCGTCCAACTTCGGCTCAGGTCATGATCTCACGGTTCGTGGGTTTGAGCCCCACGTCGGGCTCTGCGCTGACAGCTCAGAGCCTGGAGCCTGCTTCAGATTCTGGGTCTCCCTCTCTCTGTGCTACTTCCTGGCTCGCACTCAGTCTCTCTCTCTCTCAAAAATAAAGAAACATTTTTTAAAAATCTAAATAATTTTTGTCAATTTTGGTAAATCAAACATGGCTCCAACTTTTTGGCAAGGTGCCCTCTGCTCTACGTCATTCACCGGCTGTCACTGTGTATTTATTTCAAGAAATTGTCATATACTAACATACATCAGAAGAGACCAATTCGATTTCTTCTGCAAAACAACAGCAACAACAAAACTTTTAAAAAAAGCATTTCAAAAAGCGACCTGCTAGAATACAAAGATTATCACAACCTATGCCTGCCTATTCTCACAGGTGAGCCACTTCCTAACCAATCTTGTTAAAGGAGCCTTCGCTCTTGCACTCTCTGCTTATAATTCTATCTTACTCTCTTCCTAGGACTTATCACTACCTGTAAACATCTTACTTGTTTACATGTTTGTTACCCCTCCCCATTAGGGTGGAAGCTCTGGAAGTTGGGGGATTTTGTTCATCTTGTTCAAGGTATCTTCAGGGCCTGGCACAGAATTGACATTCTGTTGTTGAATAAAATACTCCTGTTGATAATCTAGGTCTTAGCTATTTATCTGTAATTACTGCCATTTACATCTAATTACTTAAAGTTATTACAAGCTTTGTGACTTTGGCAAGTCACTTTACCTCTCTAGGCCTCAGTTTTGTCATCTCTAAAATGGAGCTAATTTATAAGGTTATTGGGAAAATTCATTCAGTTCGAAGGTGCCTGATACATGGTTTACTGCTCTATAAAGTTGTTACTTAGAATGAAAGTATGGCTTTTTAATTTACTTTTTATTAAGGAAAATTTCAAACACCATAAAACTAGAGAGAATAGTTTATACTGTGAAAGTCCACGTACCCACGGCCCAGTCTTGACAATTATTAATGTAAGGTTAGTCTGTATATCCTTTACTCTCAATTCTTTAAAAAGAAAGTTAGGAGATTACTACTTTGAGATGTTGCAAACTAAGGCTAGGAATCACTGCTATGAAAATGTATGAAACAAATATTTTCACTTGGAAGAGAAATCGTCTGATTATTAACAGGAACCAGGCAATCACTGCCTTCCGGTGCTCTGTGGCTAGCAGGACGCTTAGGCCAGTGTAACAAGGTACAGGCGGGCGGCCCCACCCTCTAGCCCTCAGTTCCATATCCAGGGCTAGTCCAAAAAGAAACACAAGCATCCAAGACTACACAGAAAAAGCGGAAGGAATAGCTGAAAACTGAGACACTGAAAAGGACCAATGTGCTCTTACTGCTCCTAGAACATAACAGACACAATTTCAAGAGATACTGTAGCATCTGTTCTCTACAGTAGGAGAGATGCCTATGCACCCTCCAGAGCACCCCGGTGCTTAGATGCACCTTCGGGAGAAGTCCTCCTGTGGCCACGGTAGAGCACAGTGGGTCTCTCCTAAGTCAAATTCACCTCCAAGCTGGGAGTCTCACACACATGCTTTCTGTCACGGATGCTCCGGCCAGAAAGGCTGTCACCAGCCCGCATCCCAGGCTGGTCTGTGACAGCCCTCAGAGAGATAACCACCATTGCCCAGAGCCGCATTGCCGGACAGAGCTGCCTGGGATGCTGCGGTGTATAAGCCAGAAGCCACATGTAGCTTCTGAGCTCCTGAAATGTGGCTAGTGCAAGTAAGCACCTGATTTACTATAATTTTAATTTTATTGTATTTTAATTACACTTAAAAAGTCATACGTAGCTAGTGCATACCAATGCAAGTTGAACAGGTACCCTTTGGCCAAACAGTCAAAACATCAATAATTTAACACACCAGTTTATGAATTTATTCAAAGAAGTATATACATAACACTAAAAATAAAGAAATTAAATGTTGTTTAACTGTGTTCTGCCTGATTTTGAACAGCAGGAACCAAAATCAATAGAATCACCATTAAAAGGCCCTTATGGAAAAACTCGGTCTTATCTCACATGACCATTATATATGTTCAATTGTACATTAAAACTTACAAAATCAGATTCTTCAGGTCAGAGGAGTAGTTGATTGTCACCAGTTCCATGGCTTTCTGTAAATTCTCTCGCTGAATTCCTGCCAAAGAGTTGCAAGCCAAAGCCAACACAACTTTTCCTAATGATATCAGATCTGCTTGCTGACATGGAAGAATAAATATAACTTTTAATTTTTATTTTACGGTACAAATTTAACACAGCGACACTACTGCCTGCCTGGAGAAAGCACCCTTACAAAGAAGCTGCAGAATTCCACACAGGCTTCTCAAACACTGGCGCTCCAAGCCACCTGGGGGCTCTTACAGGCCCTCTGAGCCTCTCCGAGGGCGACGCGCACACCCACCATCTGGGAAGCCCCAGGCAATTCTGATAAAAGCAGTTCTAGGGCTCTACTCTAAGCAGCTCGTATGCCAACTACAGAACTGCTGCCTTACAATTTAAAAAAATTTTATTCAGATAGAGCGGACACTCTATTATTAAGGCTGGTTACTGCACATTCACCTGCTATGCTCAGTACAATTTACAATACGCCCCTCTCACTTCCCATTATTCCCCAAGCACAGTGGGAGTTTGAAGAATTATTTGAAGAGAAGTTATTCCACTATCAGAATGTGATGTAACTATTACCTGATTTCGGAACATGTTCTTTAGAACATTTGACACCTTGTTTCCAAACAGACCATTTTCACTCACATTATAATAGATCTTTGAGCTCTGTAACCACCTGCTTGCTTGCTTGCTTGCTGCTTTTTCTCCCTCCGTCCCTCCATCATCTACTTTTTAAGATTTAACACTCTTGAGATTTTCAAAGGGATTTTCAAAGATAGCTGGCTAAACTGAGGTAAGCTATATATTACCTATCCTAACTCCAGGAAAGAGAATGCTTCTCACAAGTGGCCCTTCTTGGCATGTAACTATCAATAATTTTATGGCTAGGAGCATGGAATAGCTCAGAGTTAAGTAAAATCATGTCCAGTAATTTTGACAGAAAACTTCTATAAATCTTCAAAATCTGAGATCTGAGCTCAAATATTGGACACATTTACTGAATACTGGTCTAGTAAAAGGAGTTTTCAAAGCTAGCTATACATTAAAATCACCTGAGAAGCTTAAAAAAATCAAACAAAAGAAATCACTCTGTAGCCATCTCTTCACTAGTAACTGGGGTTACTAGCTTGGGTTAAGATCAGGATATGAGTATTTTCTCAGAGCTCCCACAACAGTCCTGATAATGGAGTCAGGGCTGAGCACCGCTGGTTTCATGGAATGTTTATAAATGGTATAGTTATGAAATAGGTGAATATTTCAAGACAGCCACTAATGAAACCTTAGCACTCAACAGCTATCCTTAACATTTTACCCAAATAATAAAGTATAAAGAAGTCAAACTCCATTACTAAAATAACATCAAAAAATTCAAATTCAAAAATTCATTCAATAGTAGCATTTGTGAATCTGACGCTTTGAACATGAGATCCTATTATCAATGGAAAAACTACTTTGAATCTATTGGGATAAGAGATGCCAAGGATTCATGTCAAAAAAACTTTTTAAAACTTCATTTGTGGTACAGGGTTAGGAGCCAGAAAGGGAGGAGGGGGTGGCACGGGAGGGAGCACTGTTACTATTACGATCATTTCTATTCTCTGAAGGGCACTGCCATGAATGACCTCAAGAAGGACTCGCCTCAGTCATTCTCAAGATCAAGGAAAACATTCCAACTTACAATAATGAAACCATAAAAATCTTGGTCAAGAGAAATCAGTACATGTAATGCTACATGTAGATTTCTTTGCTACATGTAAATTTCTCTGTGTTTTTCAATCCAACATCCTCAGCAAAGCCAACTGGAAGTTGCTATTATTTATCAAGTGTTTGGGCAGCATGGTGACCAACACACAGCCTCCCGACCCTGTAACAACAGGATTCTCCATTTAGCTCCACCCTGAATTGATGCTGTAACTAAACCTCCCACCTAGAACATTCCAGTATTCCCTATTATGAGCCAGGAAAACAAAGTCCAAGGCAGCTGAAGGACTGGATGTGTTTTTACAATAAGAACACCTGATTCTGAGTGCATCCCACCACCTCTCCTAAACTGACTCAAGGTGGGATACCCACTTTTAGAAATAAAGTATACATAATCCAGATTAAATCAGAACTGATTTTGTTCTTAAGTCACAGGTTAATGACGTCCTGCTTAATTAAGAGAGTTTACCATCGTAAGAGCTCAATAACTCTCCTTTCCTTATTTGCCAGCTAAATAGTTTTCCATTTGTTATTTTGCTTCTTACCTCCATCTGGTTTTTCCCCCCATTTGTTGAATTCTGGAGGTTTTCCCCCCACTCATTTTCAGTTTCTTCCTGATTCTTGATTTCTTGAATTTTCTCTGATTCTATCTATGGCTCTACTTATGTCCACTTTACTGAAAGTCAGTCTCTAGTCACGTGTCTGAAACAAGACTATGAAAAATAGACTACAAGAAACAGTGCACTCCTTTCTCACGTACCCTCTTCTCTGTAAAATCACACACAATCTCCCATTTGGGACTATCTTTAATTCTCTCCTTTACTTGACTAAAAGCTGTGTGAGAAATCTTCCACACATACATAACCCACCGCTCCCCAAAAAATTAAGGAAAAAAAAAAAAAGAAGAAAACCTGCAATATCCTTTTTTGCTGGAAAATAAAGGGAAGGTGACAACTGGCTGATAGTAGCCTGAGTTTATGAGTGAAGACAGTTCCTAACTTACCAATCAGTTGCCCCAAATGCTTAAGAGTTGCTTGTTTGGAACTCTGGGATTACTTTTTCTTAAAAAGAGTTTTTCAAGGTAACCACACAATCACTGATATAAGTGAAATGATGTACACTTGCAAAAAAAAAAAAAAAAAAAAAAGGAAAATAGTGCCATGATACTCAGAGAAAACCAAAATCAAACCAGTCTTATACTAGTAATTTTTTTTAAAAAAGGAACTCTTTCAGAAGAGAGAAGAATGGAGATCGTATAATGCTGAACCTGTAAAAAACCAAAACTGTAAGGTGATTTGTTTTTTAATGTGAAGATGGGGTTTCCAGATTCTTGCAAGAAAGGTAGATGACACTGGTTCTAAAGAAGGTCTAATTTCTCCTCAAAAACTTTCCTGGATATATGAGGGTGGCTGGTATTTTAACATCAATACTTAGTCTCCTTTAGAAGCACAGAGACCAAGAAGAAAACTTTTCAGAGCCAATTAGTTAGGCTCTAGGTGTAAGACAGAAGAAGGAAAGTAGCTAAGAACCACCACCTAGATAAGCAAGCGGGAGCGGAGCAAACCCCCTGAGGCAGAAGCAGCGGCTGAGGGGAGGAAAAAGTGGTGATTCTTCTGTGCACTGCCCACTAGATGGTGCTACCAACCAGGACAGCTTGGCTGCGGCCAGTTTCCTGGGTTGTGGAGTCTGCATACAACCATACAACTCATGTGATGCGCATGGCTCTAAGTCCCGGGGGCTGCCCCCGGCTCAGCAGCTGAGGAAGAGGTTTACGCATGGACTGGATCACTGGGCCCTCCTTAGACTCCACTTCTCATTCTGTCTTTTCCTTTTTGTTCAGAAATTTTGGCTTATAATCTAAGTGAACTAAGATCTTTTTTCAAAGATTTAAATAAAAGAAGTCGAAATGAGAAGGGTGGTAAAAAGATACCATGTTTCTTCTCTCTGGATCTTTCCATGTAATTAAGAGACTGTGCCTTGCATCAAACCTCTATTAGTCAGTACATTTCTTAATACAAAAAGAATTAATAATACTGTCTTAAACCGGCAGCTGCATATCCACCAAAACACGTGAAGTACCGCAATACAGATGGGAGTAATCTGAAATATCACTTTACGCACACAGCACCCACACAGAGCAGTCAAGGCAGAAGCAGGTACACGTAATGTTCCTGCAGAGGTGGGCTCTTACTCTCTCATGCCTTGTATTCCTCAAGAAGTATGAAATGAACAACTAAGACTATGAACATGAAGGAGCCTAAATCTATACTAGTATTAGGACTAGACTAGAACCAGATTCTGATCACGTACAAGAAGTGAGTATGCAAAAGAAAAATTATTTAGAAAATGTCAATACAACAATATTCCTTAGACAATATTTCTAAAATGTGTGGATTGGTAGTGGGACAATATCTAAAAGTAAAAATAACAGCTGTGATTTGACACATCAAAGTGAAAAAGTAAAATGTCATTTAATATAATTTATACACTAATTAATGTTTTAATCTACATTGAGGACAACTTCCCTGATCACATAAACATACTTTCCTTTGAACAGTTGGTCCTTGACACTGTCGCTAACTGTTCGCACCCGCAATTGTAGGACTCCGCACCACACACACCGCAGTGGCTGAGAAATACATGTTCAAGCAGACATGGAGACACCCCAGAATAAACTGAAATCTAGACTTAAAACCCCCAAATGCTTTCAAATAAACAAAAGTTGTCTTTTAAAAAGAATCAAGCCTTAAGTTATTAAGTACCCATGTTCATTCTTACTCACCTGGTACTGAGCCATTAATGCCAATGGGTTATTATTCTGACTGTTATCAAATGTTAAAACATCAAAAACTCCAACACAATTTACTCGCAACCTTTAAAGACCAGAGAATTTAAAGAAAATTGTTAAAGTGAGATTTTTTAAAAGTTTAACACTTCCTATATTATGAAGGATCTCAGAACATGATCTAGTCTAACCTCCTATCCGACCCCCATATAATCTCCATCAACCACCATTTCAGAGATGAGGAAATTAAGGCTCACAGATACTAAGTGATAGGCCCATGGTGACTGAAGTCAGTAAGTGACAAAGCCAGGACCATTACTCACATCTCTGACTACCAGGCGCGTGGTCTTTTTACCACACCTAGCTGCTGCTTTATTAGTGATTCACAAAAAAGAACTAATTAGCTTTTCTCATATTTGCTGAAGATGTTATTAGGCACAATTCACATGTATTAATCATTCAATTTTACATGTATTAATCACTTAGTCCTCTCAATAATCTTATGAGATGGGTACCTTATAAATGTGGAAAGTAGAAATAATAACAGTCTGCTAAGGTTGTTATACACACAGAAGTTACTGAGTTTGTTCAGGATCATACAGACAGCAACTAAGAGACTCAGAGTGTGATGAACCTGGGTAACCAGGTGTGGGGTCTTGAGCTCTTTGTTATGTTGTCCAAGAGAACTCTCAAAGTTACAGCAACTCAGATAAAACTCTGGGGAAGTCAAGGGCTGTGTTCCTGAACTTTGTATTGGTGGTTCTCAAAGCACTGGACCCAATGAGCAGCAACAGTATCACCTAAGACCTTGCTGGAAAATATAAACTCTCAAGCCCCACTTCAGTTTTACTGAATGAGCACTCTGGGAGTGGAGCCCAATAACGTGTGCTTACTAATGAGCCCTCCAGGTAATTCTGTTTCATGCTACAATCTGAGAACCATGGTTGTGCATAGAAAAGGTCTCTTGATATTACTTCTATATCCGCCTCCCCCCCTTCCTAACTATGTATACGTCCCAAACTCTTAAAAGATTCTTGGTTAATAACCAGGCATTTTATTATTAAGAATTCAACATTAAAAAAAAAAAAAACTTACAAATGAACTCAAAGTCACAGCAGTTCTTCTGGATGGAGTATACGAAAAGGTAGAATTAAACAAATCATCATGCTTTGTTTACTAAACTGTCATTGGTTAAATGCTCAATAAAGAAGCCAAACCTCAAAACGGCAGTACCTTGTTTTGCCAGTTATCAGAATCTTTGTTGGGTCCATAACGCGACACGCCAAGCCTGCCGTGTGAATGGTGCGCAGTGCCGAGCTCAGCTGCACAACGTAGGCCCAGATCAGAGACTCTGGCAACAAGCCAGCGTGCTGTCTGGGCAATGGCCCGTCATGCTGGCCTAGAAGGCAAGTAAATTAAAAAAATGACATCTTTTAAACAACCAACTAAAAGACTGAAGCATCCAAACCAAAATTAACCAAAAAAAAAAAAAAAAAAAATCCACGTATCACAGCACAAATTTAAGTTTAGTCTGTTGGCGGGAAGAGACACCCCCCAGCTTCCTGTGGACGAGATCACACCTCTACACTGTCAGCAGCGGCAGGGCTCTCACTGAAGTGCTCTTTTCTGTGAGCACTGTAATTACTGAATAAAGAAAATTACATAAAAAATTTATATCCCATGTGAGCCAAATGTAAATTCTGATTAAAAACAGGAATGATGAATATTATTATTTTACTTAAAATGGGGATAATTCTGGCCTGTATTAGGGTTCACGCAGGTGAAAACCATTCACTCGATGGCCTGAAAGGCCCATACGAGTCCCTCTATCACTTATGCCACATGTTTCCTTTCTCGCCTTAGGGCACTCCAGCCCCTCTCTCAGAGCCATGTCGGTTAGCCAGGATGACACCCAACTCATAAACACCTAAGTGCAAAACACTGAGTATCACTTATGTCTAATAATAATCACAAGGATAATCTGATCTACCATGACAGTATATCAGACATTATATCAACTCCTGTTTAAGTGCTGCTGCTGCTTCTTCTTCTGTAATTAGAGAGACAGAGAGAGTGGGGTGTAAGGTAGGGAGAGTGGGAGGCAAGTGAGTAAGCGTGGGGTGCAAGATGGGAAGAGGGAGGGAAGGAGGGAGGAAGGGGGGCCTACAGGAAGAGAGACAGAGAGACAGAGAGAATTCTAAGCAGGCTCCATGTCAGCAGAACGCAATGCTTCTGTGGGGCTTTGTCCCACAACCCTGGGTTCATGACCTGAGCCAAAATTAAGAGTCGGATGCTCAAATGACTGAGCCACCCAAGGTGCTCCCTCTTATCACAACCCTTATATATGATTATTATTGCCAATTTTATAATTGGTATATTTCTTATAATATGTAATTGTTGAAGAAAACACTAGATTTTCATCTATAGCTCTTTTATACTTTTTCTTCTAATAGTCATAATGGGGAAAATAGAGAACTGCCTTGGATTAAAAGTTGCTATAAACTGAAGGATGTATGCTATGCCCGGGGAAGTTACTATCATTCAAACACTTAAAAAAAGAAAAAGGAGTGATTCCTCTGAAAATGTAAACATAATATATCATATAATCGGTCAACACCAAAAATAAAGACTAAGAAAAACAAAAATGGGAAAGGAGTGCTATAATTAGTGGTTGTCCACAGGGGTCCATTTTGCTGCCTGGAAACATCTGGCAACGTAGCAAGCTCTTCTTGGTGCCACTACTGCTACAGGCGTGTAAAGACAGAGGCCAGGGCACTGCTCGCCCCCTGGAATGCACAGACAGCCCCCCACACATCATCATTCAGCCCCACATGTCAACGGGGCTGAGGCTTAGAAACCCAGCTATAAATTAAACCCAACAGTCATTTCACAGGTGCCACCACTAAAATAAACTTGAACAACTACAGCCATATCCATCTGTAGGAAAGCTATACCACATCCCCTTCAACAGAATTATCTATGTGTCTAAAGAGGACACGGCAAAAGGAAAAAATGAGCACACGTATGACCAAATTTTTAATGTCAAACAGCCACGTAACCACAGCTCTCTTCTTCCAACGGCCAGAAAGCAAAGTTACAAGTAAACAGAAGTAATATATTTTTATCCACCATTCAAATCCTTAAAGGAGTCACAATCCAAAAGAGAATGTAATGGGGACTCCCATCTTTCTTCCTCCTTAATTTCTCTCAGTATACATTCAAGAAAATCTTTGAAAGATTAAAAACCACAGTAAAAAATATAATGCTCTATCAACTATATTTCAATAATAAAATGTTTTAAAAGAATTCCGTGTTTTTTCCCTGCCCCCAAACAAGAAAACGATACATACATTTTCCTTACCCAAACACCTAACTTAATTAAGAAACATCTCAATATTTTGGTTCTTTGAAGTACTGGAACTATAAATACTAAAAAATATCCCATTAAAGTAAATGCTACCTGAAAACTTATTTTGAAGATTAATTCCTTAAGTAACTAACATTCATTCAGTCCTACCTTTTAAAAAAGCATCTGTTTAGGGAAATCACTTCAAAAATGACATACGGTCACAGTGGACTATAACAGAGTCATTAAATTATATTCAGAAAAGATAAAAGGGGGAAAATACTTAACAACAAATGAAAGATGCAAGATACAAAATGATAAAAGAAGGAAACAAGATGACAGGAAACCAAAAACAAAACAAAACAACCAAGACCAGGAAGAAATAGGCCAAGAGATAATAATGATTGTGCTTTGGGTGGTGAAGCTATAGGCATTATTTTCCAAAATGCCTTTCCTCAGAAAGCACTGTCGTTTTAAAAGGAAAAAAAAGTTGAAGGGGGAAAAACCCCCATCATCTTGTCAGCGGGCGGCATTTCAGACGGCTCCGCAAACCTCTCACGCCTGCCTCGCCTCAGTCTCTACACACGACACACTCTTTCCAAGCTCATTATGGACTGCCTTCAGTTCGAGACATTTCTCTTTTTAATGCACTATGATAACAGAAACAAGTTTACGTGCATTTTAAAATACGAAACGACTCTTCCACAGAGCAAAAGCATTTGTCAAAACATATCCTGCTGCATCTTTTCCTTACCCCACTTTCTCTTTGTGAAATAGGCATCAGCATTAGGGTCATTAAAGTGTCTGCTCATCATAGTCTCTCCTCCAGCATGGAAATCATACGCAAACACAAGAGCTTAAAATAAAACACAAAACACTCATTACTGCAATCTGGCTTCAAACAATGAAGAGCATAAGCAGAAAGACAAGTACAAATTACTCACAAGGCTCCGCAAATGCTTTAGTGGTAAATACTTCACGCAAGGTCACAATATTTGAGTGCTGAATTTTCTTCCACATATCGACCAACACCATGCACTTTGTGTTAACAAGACGAAAACCTATAGAAGAAAATTTTTTCTACTGAACTGCAAATGAAATCTCCCCTTGATTCTTATCAGAAATGTGAAGAAAAAAGCCACGTTATACATCATTTATGAGCTACTAATTTCCAAATGAAATAACAAATTTACCTTAGTATCCTTTATACTCCTATTAAATAAATAAAGACATGCAGGAAGATAGAGCATGGGTAAGTCATCTCCCTTACCATGTATCCTCCGAAGGCAATAGGGCAGATCATCTTTGCTGTTCACAGCTTTGTAGCAGGATGTAATGTATCCAAAATTACTTGATTTCTGTATCCGGTTGGGCGGTGGCAGTGGTTCGAGAGGGAACAGGCTATGGTAGCTGTCAACTTCTGCGGGGACTGCTAGAGAAAGTCACAGAAGACAGTTTTACCTTGCTGATACACATAAATTTCTCAGAGTAAAAGAGACATCAAATCGACCATAAGCCACCGGTATCAAAATATACTTTTGAATTCTGGCACAGTGTCAACATTCATAATAATTCTAGAAAAGAAAATGGTTTCATTATCATTAAAAATAAGCTTTATGAAACAACTAAAGAACCAGGTTTCATACACTTGAAAACATTTTTTTACTTTTGTTAAGTAGGTTTCACACCCAGCCCAGAGCCCAACACAGCACTTGGACTCATGAGCCTGAGAGCAAGCCTTGAGCTGAGATCAAGAGTAGGATGCTAAACGGACTGAGCTGCCCAGGCGCCCCTCGAAAATACGTATCTTTTGGGGCGCCTGGGTGGCTTAGTCGGTTAAGCGTCCGACTTTCACTTAGGTCATGATCTCGCGGTTCGTGGGTTCGAGCCCCGCATCGGGCTCTGTGCTGACTGCCAGCTCAGAGCCTGGAGCCTGTTTCAGTCTGTGACTCCCTCTCTCTCTGACCCTCCCCTGCTCACGCTGTGTCTCTCTCTCTCTCTCTCTCTCCTAGAAATAAATAAAACATTAAAAAAAAAAATTAAAAAAAAAAAAAGAAAATACGTATCTTTTATAGCACAATACAACACTTTGTTTCTCAGCTATTAGAAACAATTTGTGTTATCACGGATATTAAACATTTCTGATTTTGATTCTGCTTCTTAAAACACTTTGGTTTGCACGAAATATATTTAGACAGTGGTGTTAAGCATATGACTTCTTGTTTTTTAAAACATACAGAAATCCAAAACGAGTAACATTAAATTGGAGTGTGATATGTAATGTATCTGTGTGTATATGTATGTATAAATATGGCAATCTATGAAGACTTTCAACCATTCAGTGAACAGCACAGTTTAATTCCTAGTAAAATATAAAAGAAAGAAAATGAAGACAACTTTACCTTCATGCTTTCCATGTTCTTCAAAACAAGAAAAATTATGTTTAAGAATAGCTGGGATAATGCACTGCAATTTGTTCATGATACTCTGGTCAGGCATTTAAAAAACTATTTATCTTGAATCCCAACCTGTTGTTTCTAAATAGGGGCGCCTGGGTGGCTCTGGTGGTTTAAGCATCCAATTAGATTTTGGCTCAGATCATGATCTCATGGTTCTATAAGAATAAGCCCTGCATGGGGCTCTGTGACAGTTCGAAGACTGTTTGGGATTCTCTCTCCCTGTCTCTCTCTGCCCCTCCCCTGTTCACTCATGCTCTCTCTCTCTCTAAAATAAATAAATCATTTTTAAAAAGTACTCAAACTGTATTCAGTGCTTGGTTTCTCTAAATAGTATAGGCAATTTACTTTTCTTTTTTAAGTTTATTTTGAGAGAAAGAGTGCACCACAGTGGGGGAGGGGTAGAGAGACAGAGTGAGAGAGAATCGCAAGCAACTATGCACTCAGTGCAGGGATCGACACGGGACTTGATCCCACAAATGGTGAGATCATGATCTGAGCAGAAACCAAGAGTCCGACGCTCAACTGACCCAGACACCCAAGTGCCCTTACTTTTCCTTCTTTATTGCTCCCTATTTTCTAGCACAAACACATATCAGTTTTGCAATTCAAAAAAATGAGGTTTTTTTTTAATGTTTCAAATACAATCAAATTACATTTTCCAATGGAACAGCTTCCATTCCCCTAAATGGCTCGATGACTTAGGAACGCTCAAGAGATTTCAAATGAAAAGCAGGTAAGCGAACACACCCAAGTATGCACGGAAAGCCATGTAGAAAGGAGCACGGCAAAAACTTTAGCAATGGTAACCTGAGTGGGAGCACTGTTACTCTCTCTTTACACTACTCCATACTTCCCAAACTTTTTACAATAAACACGCTTAGCAGCATTTTTAAAACACAGGAATAAATCTCTTTTTAAAACACACACAGACCAAATGACTAATAATTTCTGACCTGATGACTGTTAAGAAATATAGGTAAAACCCTATTCAGAAATCTAACTTCAGTTGACAGGCTCACAATGGCCTCTCGGCCGTTGCTCAATTCTGACATTTGCTATGTCTTGGTTTTTGAAGCAACCATAGGAGACAGAACTCTATTTCATAAGGAAAGTGAGATCGCACATCTAGAAAGGGAGTTGGGATGCAAACTCAGGACTCTGATTCCGTAGTCTTGTGCTCTTAACCACTAGACAGCATTTTGACCATAGTGCAAAACAGACACTGATTCGACCTAACTTTCAAAACAAGGTCACATGACATGTACGGAAATAAAGGCAGCACAAGGGAAGTAGACACACAAGGAAAGAGAGCTATAACTTTGTCCATTTATCATTTATTTTATCGATCAGTGTAATTTCCACAAATGATGAATAGATTTTGTTTCCCTGTTACTTCATGAGGAGCATCTAATAAGAGAAATAATTAATTTCAAATTAGTAACAAGGTAATGAGCGCCTACTGTGTATCAGTGAGCCCATATTAATGAAATACGGGCTCTTATAAAGCCACGTAGAGAAAAATGAAGGACAGATCTATATGAAAACATAACATAGTACAAGGAAAAACAGCTATTAAAAAAGTACACTTCACCGTGGCACTGGTTCTTAAGCTCCAACACCCTTCAGAATCACTGACAGTGATACGCCACGGTTTGCAGCGCCCCATGCCCAGTGTTTACTTAATCGCGCTACGGTGGGGCCCAAGAATCTGCAATCCTAAGAAGTTTCCAGGTGATAATGAAAAGATGCTGCTGGGGCGAGGACCACATTCTGAGAACCACTACACACGGAAACAGCCAGAAGGAAGCCAGTCTCAAGGGTACCAGGAAAGATCTTACAGAAGACTGGGTACGTGTACTACAAACCGAGGGAGGAGACTGCCTTCGGTGAGCTACGACGATGAGAACGAGCGCGTGGCTTTGCGGTGAGGGAGTGAACACAACCGCCGCCGCCACCCAGGCCGCAGTGTGTATTGTGTCCAGGAGCCGTGAAATCTCCTGTGGTGGGAGAGTAGCGGGGATCACAGAGGACGTACAAAGGGAGAAAAGGCTGAGGGGGGTGGGCTGGGACTGGATCAGGGGGGAATTTAATGCGAGACTGAGGACCTGAAACTCACTCTGCCAATCGGTGGGTCCTAGCACCAGTGTGACAGAGAGATGGAGAGAGGGTCACAATCAGCTAAAAAAAACTCCCCTGTCCCTATGTGCACTTCAAGCAAGGCATGCTGAATTCTCTACACTGCAGGGGAAAAAAACCTGTGCCTCAGTGGAAAACTATGCAGCATCCAACGGGCAGCTTTTCGATGTCTGATTCTGATGCCACGGGAGACCGTCCACGCTCCCATGAACTGTACGTAGCTAACTGGCAGCCCTGCAAAAGACCGCCTGGCCTCCTCTATGAAAAAGCCAGTCTGACACTCACTTCAATATTCCTCATCTGTAACAGGTCCCACAATCAGCTCCCGCATGACATAAATAAAACCTTCAGACTGTTCGTTTTTATGTCTGTACATTTTACCTTGTTTCAGAAAGTCATCTTTTAACACTACATTTCCCATTCCACCCTGAAATAATCGTATGTGGCCTAACAGTAACCTTAAAAACTGAATGTCTTCACTGATAGGACTGTTCAGTGTTGTTTTTCTCTTCTTTGTTTCCAGCTCAACTTAACAAATGCATAAAATTAAAGATGAATAATGGGAATAGGGGGTGCCTACGTCACCATCAGGCATCAAAAATCAAACTAAGGATATCAACTTATAAGATTATGGACAGAACTGTATCCTCTAGTTTGGCCCCAAGTTTTAGTCTGGGGTCCAATTCCACCAAATAATATTAAAAATAATGATTAAAAAAATAAAATGTTAATGTCTTTGCTCTATTCAACCCTACTTCCCCTCAAAGGACATATAAGATAACAGGTTCAATCTAAGATACTGAATGTCTGAGATTCACTGTGGTCTCTCGACCTTGGCGCTACTGGCACACCAGACGGGATCACTCTGGGCGGTCAGGGACTGTTCTGCACACGGTGAGTGTTCGGCACCCACCACCAGGGGGACAGCCCCAACTGCTGCAGACACTGCCAAATGACGCATGACGGGGACAACCACTCCTGGTGGAGGACCACTGATCTACAGGAAATAAATTATGATTTCGAAGTTGAGATATTGTTCCCGTGTGAATATGAATTATGAAATGGGAAACGGAGAGAATAGACAGCAAGACCAAAAATTAATAAAGGAATCAACATGAGATGAAAATTAATAGTAAACATAGGACATGAAAAAGACCAGTTAGAGCAGCGACCCAAAAAAAACCATTTACAAAACCTTGTTGAACAAGGGGCACAGAAGTGGATTAACTGTAACTTTCAGTTTGTGACACTCAGATCACTGGCTCATGTCTACATAAGGCCTGCTTTAATGGAGCTAATTACTCGTAATAGCATAATAAGCATCTGCAGACTCAGCACTCTAAGACCTTTACTTTAACTGACATCTAAATTATGGTTTTCTCTACCAGCCTCTGCCTTCTTTCTCTCACTTCCTTCCTTTTTAATACAGATGTATTACACATGATACACATATACACATAGGTTTACATAAATGTAAGTACATATACAAATTTTAACTTTGTAAAAAGGTATTATGCTGTATGTAGTCTCTTGCAGCTCACTTTACTTACCAATACTCTTCCGTACTGTTGCATGTCAGTGAACATTCTTCACTTAAGCTGCTGTACCAGATCCCGTTATTTGACAATGTCACAGTTAATTTGGACTGATCAAAGTCTCTGCCATTTTGAGCAACAATGTTACGGATACTTCATCATACATTTTGTGGCTGAGAGTGTGTAGGAGTTTTCACCTGTTTTCAGGAGGAGAGCTGCTGGGTCACAGCACACAGAGGCACTCCGCTTTAGGAGCTTTCCAAAGTGCTAACAGAGTCCCCAGTGCCCACCACCTAGAATAACGCACTGGAGAACCTGTGGACCCACATCCTAACACTTCATTCGATCAGACTTTACCATGGCAGCTTATCTGTATTTCCCTAATTACCAGTGATGTTTAACATCTCTTCATATGTTTATTGGTCCTGTGAATTTCCTCTTTCCTCACAGGTCTAGTCCTATCTTTTGGCCATTTTTCTGTTGAGTTTATTATGCTTTTACTGAATTGTGTTTTTTATATTCTTTGTCAACTGTGTAAATATCTTCTTCCAGCTTCTTTCTTTACTGTGGGTATCTTTGGATTACTTTTCAATTCTAATTAATAAAATTTATCAGCGTTTTCTTTAAGAGTCAGCAATTTTTGTCTCCTGTATAAGATATCTTTCCCTACTGAAATGTTACCTCTATTCACTAATATTTTATAGTATAGTATAAAGAGTTTGTAAGTTTGGTATGCAAGTCCCACCCACTTACTTTGCCCTAGGCACTTCCTCCATTCGGCAGTCCCAGGGTTGAATCCTCTATGCACTAAACCAGCAACAGTACCTAAAGTGAGTCCCTCTAGCAAATTACTGAACCAGTGGAGTGGGGGGGACTGGTGGTAGTGCCTGTGGAAACCCCCCCCCAAATTTGTAGTTGGCTGGAGTGTAGGTAGCCCATCTCGGCGGGCCTTTGAAATGGGAGTAGTCTTGTGGGACTGTGCCCTTAATAAATAAATTGTCAGGACATGAAGCAAGTGTCAGAAGTATTATGAGTAAAAACAACTCACGTGCTTTGACTGCAATTATACTGCATCTATAGATCAGTTCAGAAAAACTGACATCTAAATCACTATGTCTTCCTATTTATAATATTTTGCTCTATTTATTTACTTAATATCTCTTCATAAGCCTCCCCCACTGAAATCTCACACATCTTTTGTTGCGTTTATTTCTAGCTACTGACAAGCTGAAACCACTGTAAATAGCATCTTTTCTTTTAATTATATTTAACTTACTGGCTACTGGTTTACAGAAATTTAAGCGACATGTATTAATCTTGTATCCAGCTATTTCCTAAGCTCTATTACAATTTCAAGTTATGGCCAATCTACAGACATAAGACTTATACATGATTACAGTCTTAAAGACTAGAAATGCAAAAATAAACCTATTTATTTTTCTTTTCTTTTTCTACCCTGGCTATGGCCTCAAAGACAATGTTAAGTAACTGAGGAAAATTCCAACCTGAATACTTCAAAGGTTATGACTGATGAGTTCCCTGTCCATCTAAACTGAAAAGATCAGTCTTAAGGCATTATAGCTAGACGTATTATTCCTTTTAATTCTTTGGCAATCAAGAAAATGCACAGTACACTATGTTGAGTCCTTGATTACAACCACGTGCTTTGAGACGATCTCTATGGCAAATATATTCCTACTGCATTATTTATAAAGTTTTGCTAAATTCTACCGTATTTAAGCTTGCGATATACAGAGTAAGCTAGAGAAAGAGATTTTTCACATACTCTGAGAAACACTGTGGTACAGTCAGAAAAAGCTAGGTTTAAATCCTGACCCGACCAGCTGCTTACTAGCCATAGGTCTTAAAGGTGATTTACTCAGCCTTCCTGTCAACCTCAGTTCTCTTCATACATAAGAGGGATAGGATAGTATTCGCATCTAGGTCACAGGATTTTTATGAGGAAGAAAATAAGACATATAAAGAATTTAATTACACGTTATCTGGTACACCACAGTTTGAAAAATAATAATTACCTTCTCCATCTGTTCCAGTATCCATACTTTATCAAGTTTCAGAAAACAATATTCCAATGCATGGTGAGGTGAATCACCATGAATTTTAAAGCCATCTAACTTTTTTGACAAACTGGAATACTGCCACATGTAGAACTAAAATGAACTAGACGATCAGTGGCATCCTGGAACTCTTCAAAAGTAGATTTCAAATAAATATACTCATAAAATAGTAATTAGCTGTTCAAGGCATAAAAACATGTCCATCAAGATTATAATATCCTTTAAAAGGAAGGACGGAATCAACTTGCATTTACCTGGCATATCTGCTTGATCAATTTGGGCCATTGTTATTAAATGCCTGTTAATCAGCTCCTAAGAAAAGAAAACAAGTATATTTACATATAAACATAGCTTCTGAAACCTGATTTTCTACTAGAAATAAATATTAATATTTTCTAATAAGTGCACTTTTTAATGTCGACAACATGAATGACATTTCTAATAATGGTAAGATGTCTCATTTCCGGGCCTGGAGAGACTGGCCCATAATGAAGGTGGGGTTAAGTAGCTCTGCTTTGACCCAAAGCACACAACCTACTCTGTGGCTGAAAACTCCAGGTCTACCCTAAGCTCGTCAAGAATGTATTCATCAACATTATACTGGTACAACTTCTGTGAAATAAAATTTTTCCTGAGAATATAAGTATAAAATGAATTCTATATATCAAATAATACCCAGCTATTTACCTCAAAATAACCAGCTAAATTACTTTATAAAACCTACTTTATAGAAAATATTAAGCTCTACTGTTTTTTTAATCATTTTAAAGTTTATTTATTTATTTTTGAGAGACAGAAGTAAGGGGGAGATGGGGCGGGGGGAGAGAATCCCAAGCCGGCTCCACACTGTCAGCACAGAGCCAGATGCGGGGCTCAAACTCACAAAACTGAGATCATAAGCTGCGCCAAAACCAAGAGTTGGATGCTTAACCAACTCAGCCACCCAGGTGCTCCAATATTAAGCTCTTTTAAAATGAGGTTTATTTCTAGGCCCAACTACTTATTCTCAACCTACAGATATTAGCAAAAAGTTGTCTGAAGGTTAGAAACCATGTAAATAATTTATTTATATATTTCAAAGAGACCTTTCAACGCACAGGATATGACATGCAAAAAGGTGGCCTATTTAAATAGCTCTTTTTTCTCTCTTATGTCCCAACAAATACTGATCTGCAATTGTCTTGAAAAACAGGTTTCCTTAAATAAATGTATCAATGAGAACTCATACATCCTCAATTCGAGCTCTTGCGTACAGCATGTTTGATCACACTATCTGACTGCGAAGAGCACTGTTCTTTCTCCAGCTTGTCGCCAAAGCCCGACAGACACTGAGCGCCTCCACCAGGACCCCCGGAAGCATACCTGTCGGAGCTCGTCGGCCATGAAGAAGGAGGGAGCGTTTGCTTTCGGCTGCATATACGCGACATGAGGTGCAGTCGGAGGATATATGTGATAGTTCGGAAATACCTAAAAAGGCAGGGAGGGAAAATGTAACAACCAACTTTTCTCAACTGACAGGCTTTATCACTGTTTTGGTAAAGTTTTAAATGAAGGTGACAGATAAATGGATACATTTTAATCTTTAAATCATAATGAATTAAACACCTTAGAGAGTAGCTGTTATCAGGGTACTTTCAGAATGAACTCACTTTGTAAAAATAATCTTATATTGTAGTAATCAATTTTAAAAAATCTAACGAGGAAGGAAACATTTCTTCAGATACAGTAAAACTTAACTTCCAAGGAGAGGCCAAAGCCGCACTTTGGAAGAAGAGTTACGTATCCTGTAAGCATTTTTTTTTTTTTTTTAACACAGTGGGAAGAGAGGAAGAAAGCAGGTGTTAGAAGTGTCTGGATTCAGTCCGATAACGAGGTGACACCGCCCTGGCCCCCCAGAGAACCATCCCCCTTGCAGGGGTTTTGTGGCCAGCCCGAACAGACTGCTTGCTCTGTACATGCTGGTAAGTATGTACCGCGGCCGTGAAGGGGACCGGGGACTTGCTCTGGGGCCGGGGCCGCAGCTTAGGTGGACAGAAAGTGCAACAATCTACTAAAATACCTGCCGCACAAACTACAGCAAAGTTACTAAATCTGCTTCAAGCTTCTTCGCTTTCATTTTTCCGGACTTTTCCCCACCCCCTGCTTCTTCTCTTCTTCCTCTGCCTCTCCTTCCTCTTCACTGGTCCCTGATATAAAATAAACGTACATTCTAAACTACCTTCCTCCCCCCCACCCCCCCATCTAAAAAGCTGAAACAAACACTTTTTTTTTGTCCTCTTTGAAAAACGAATTCAGCTGATTTCTGCTGCCCTCAGATGATCATTGTGCTCTGGACCTCGGCCAGGAAGTGGTTTTGCAATACCTGTAAGGTTTCCTTTAACCTATATCCGCAGGGAGAAGAATATTTCTTTTTTCTTGCTTCAGTTTTCTTACACCAGATAGCACAGTTTGGCTTAATTACCTCAAGTTTACCATGAGCATATTTCTAAGAGTGGTCTGAAGAGTAAAAACATCATAAAAATGTGCCACAGGTAATCTCTACAAAAACAGATTGAGATAGTTTTGTGACAAAAGAACCTCTTTATAGATTAAACTAAACTTCTTTCTATAAATATAATAAAAATGTAAATAATTATAATAAACCCCCAAAAAAGGTAAAACATTGATGGAACTCTTACTTGAAAGAACCAAGGAAAGTCTCTACTCTACCTCAATTATTTGACCTTCTGTTCGGCAAGCTGTTCTGTGATAATTTTTGAAAGATCTCTGACCAAAAACAAAACAAGACAGAACAAAACTATTAGCTATTTATTAGTCTTTTAAAACATTTTACATAATTTACAAGTACTTCTACACATGTTTTCACTAAAGTATTATCCCCACCGACAACTGGGGAAATGGTCTCAGAGATACTAAGATTCAAAAGTCACAAAACAATGGCAGGACGGGGACACTTAAAAAACATAAAAGAACTCTGTCATCTTTCCTTTCAAATTGACTTTTAGTAAAATATTAATCGAAATAAACCACTGATTTAACTTGTGAGATCAAAATTTGCTTACCAAAATCCAAGTATATTTTTCACCTAAACCTATCCTCTGTAATTATGTCAAATGTCTATAATTGAGATCAGCTCTCCTATCTTGATGGAATTTAGCTTTCTAACTCACAAGCTCTTCATCCACTACTTATTCTACCGTACCAGTTAAAAAAACAATATTTTAACATAACCAGAATGAAGCTAAAAGATATAATTTATGGAAATTTTTTGCCCTTTCCCCTCTCTCCCCTCTGCCTGCCTTTGGTAGCTCTTTCCTCATCCATGACCAGGGATCCCCCCGGGCTTCCTCTTTCCTTACCAATAACCCATATTGGGGGCCCCTTATCATATGTGTCCTCCACTAGCCAGAGATGTACAGATTAAATCATTTCCTCACCTGAAGCAAGAGTTTATCATCGGTTTGTTTTCAGTAACTACGATAAGAAACCATCTACTTTCTCCGACTTCTTACTAGAGTTGTAAAACCACCTATACCTATAAACAAACGTAGCAAATCTCAACTCCAGCTGGCACCAGTACCTGGTAACCCTATGAGCAAAACATGCCATAAAGAACTAAACTAGAGCTTGAATATAAACTAATTTGTGATTAAAACCAGTTTTGTCTACACTGGAGTTCGTATTAATGCAGAAAGTTTACTCTGAAGAGATAAGAAGGGCTCAGAATTATCATCTAAGTTAGAAAATTAAATACTCACGTTTCCACATCACGAGAGATGCAAGAGGGCTAACCCTCCTCACTAATCTCACTAATAAGAAGAGACTGTTGTAAAGGGACTATCACCTCTCCTTTAATGCAGACATACCATTCCAGTCAAAGGTGCTGGGGTTGTGTCTGTATAGAAGTAAGTCGTCCCACCGACAGTTTCCTTTTGGATCACCTGACCAGAAGACGGAGTCTGAGAAACAGGATTATTAACAGACGTGGAGGCACTAGAAGGCACCATGTAACTTGCTGGACTGGGAGTGTGACTTCTTCTTCTGGGAGCAGGAGAAGTATGTGGAGTGATCTTGGGAGAATGAAGAGGAGAAGACCCGGCAGACAAGGACATTCCTGAAGAAGATGTGAAAATGTTTCTTAGGAGCAAAATTTGGTTTTAGAGAAAAAGATCTGGAAAATAAAATGCAAACATTCATTTGGAAGAAACATCCTCTTTAGCAAATTCTTTAAGTGCAAAAATAAAAGCCATAATTTTATCTTGGTTTGTTTTAGAGACAGCTCTGCTGAAAGCAAAGGTAAGAGGTTTCTTTTTTCAAATATAGCCATTTCCAAATAAACTGGGAAATTTATTACGAGAATAGTCTCCTCCATATCAAGGTTTACATGAGAAACTTCAACAGTAACAATCATCGGCAATTTAACAAATTAATTTTATGGAAAAATGAGAACTAACTGGGACTCTCAAAAAGCCTTTTTATAAGCCTTTATAAAAAGCCTTTTTTCTTTCATAAAGTGCTCAATTCCTTTTTTGCAAAAAATCATTTAAAACTACGGCTATTAACAACAAAAATACCACATTACCCTACAGTAGTATAGTATTAAAAATCAAACTCCTTAATGAGATTTACTAGATTTCTTTTGGCCAAATACAGTTAACAGAATGGTTTGAAAAAGCAAAACAATTAAGTCTAGTTTTAGCTGAAGTACACGGCAGCTTATATACTCTTTTTTAATCAAGCAGTATACTGTTTTTATGCCTTTTGTCTTTTAATTCTAAGCAGGCATATACTAAAACAAATGAAAATTTCTGCAGATGCATACTCTGTAAAATTAGGTCAAATGATGCCACTAGATTTTAGCAGAAGTTTTATGCAAACACAACTAGAAGGAATCATTACATGTACGGCATCCTTTATTATGATTCTAATGTGAAGAAAGGGAAAGAACAATTGTCTTAACCCTTCAGGAGATTCAGACTAGCTGAGAAAACAAGTCCAGGTCACAGGTAAAAGACATAAAATGACTTACAAAAACACTCAACTGTAAATTAATATACTGCAAACTACATGCATAAATGCAGATGGAATGCAAGTTAATTAAAACCATGTAGAATTAATCAGAGGCTTAATGGAGGTGATCAGTTCTGAGCAGAGGCTGAAAAGAGTTTCTAGAGCTACAATTATACTTCCTAAAAACACTCAGCTTATCCCCTGAACTGTTTTCTGGACATGAGAGTAGCTAAAACCCACACCTTTAAAGTAATATGCCATCTCACAATCCATGAAAAAAGTTTGCCAACATGCCTCTTGTCATTTGAGAAATATGACTAACAGGGACATGAATTTGAATTTTGAGAAATTCATAAAACACCAACATTGTCTTTTGGAAAGACGTAGGTGGACACAAACAAGGTGAGAATTGAGAGGACACTTACATCTACTTCACACTTTCTAAAGAGCCTTAATGTGATGATCCTGCCTGATGTCTGAGCAACGAGATAAGTTAGGAAGGTGAGGCAGGTCACATTACAAGCACCAGAGTATAGAATTCAGACATGAAGAGGTAGTGATTTGATCAGTGTGACATCTGTGCAAAGTCAACAGCGAAGCCAAGGCTCAAAGCAAGGCTCCAAACTGCAACTGTAACAGTCCTACTGCCCCACTGACAATAGAACAGACCCGGCACTCTCAAGTGTGTCTTAAATGTATCCACGAGAAACTTTAAAAATCTAAACCCCCATTTTAAAAAAAACGATATTTATAAGGAAGCCATGCTACTATATTGAGATATGTTTATTTAAAAAAAAAAAAAAAACTGTTCCAGAGTTCTCTGTGTTTTCTTAACTCTATATTATATACATTGCACTGCAGGTTATTCCATACAGCTAACACTGAATTACTTAACTATTTTTGAAGGATAAATATTCCCCACTTACCTAATACGAAATGCATTTAAGATAGGTTTCCTAAAGCTAGTATTCTAAGTCTTTCCAAGAGAAAACTGGCCAAGTCATCAAAGATGAGTGACTGTGTTTACTACCTTTAAATTAAATAGTAGCAAGAAATAGAGCTATCCATTCTTGAGCACTTTCCATGAGGCAAGCACTAATACAAGTACTTCACATACGTCAGTCTACTTAATCCTCACAACAACCCTGTGAGGTAGGTATATCATATTCACCTCACTGCAAAAGAAACTAACATTAAAAAGGTTTTTAAACTTATTCTAAGGACAAATATAGGTTATTAAACAAAAGAATCAAGGCTAAAACTCAGGTCTATTCGATTCCAAAGCCGGTGCTCTTAGTCAATATGCTCTACAGTCACCCAGTTCGTAAGTCCTGCACTAGAAAGTAGAAAGGGGACCCATTACTTGGCAGTGGTAGCATGAGCGACTACATGAGCCATGAGGAGTGGAGGAGGTGCAGCACGGGGTCAAAGGAAAGACTCTGACACCAGAGCAGGTATGTGACAAAAGGTAGATGATTTCCTTAAGGCTGACTACATAGAGACCGATTACTATCAACAACCTGTGGTCAGGTAAGAAGGAACTACGTGTTAAGTAGACTTTATAAGTTATAAGTAGCAAGCTTTCTCTTACGATGTTCAATGTTGTAGCTATTCTAATAGAAAGTTACAGCACTGCAATTTGAGTTCATATATCTGAGCTGAGGCAGATTACACATATTTAAATACATTCAAAATAAAGCATGTACACTATTAAGTATCACCACCCATAGGGGTAGTAGGATATTTAAATTTGTAAGAAGCTAGAAATAAAATTAACCCCAAATTACTGAAACATCAAACCAAGTCACATAAGGCAAGCTGTGTGCCACCAGAATATTTTACAAACACGTTAAAGAATTGAGTAAAATCGGCACATATCTGCTCGAAGAGAGGTACTCTGTACTTAGCTATGATGAAGACAACAGCCACAACTCACTCACTACCAACTGCCTACATTCAACACTGAATCATCAACAGCACAAAGGAGTGAAACCATACTACAGAAATGAGTAGTTAAAAATAAAGATTAAAGAAAACAAACCGGTTCGATTTCACCTCTCTCACAAGTAAATACTCTTTTTATAAGTTCTATCTTTCTATATACATAGAGGGGACGAGTGACTCACCACCAATGCCCTGCTGTCCACTGGTATTCACCCAGCAGAACACTTAAGTAAATACAGTAACCACTGAGGGCACCATTAAGAGAGAGACAATCTGGAAGAATGAAAGTGTGTATTTAAAAAAAGATGATTTAGAAATATTTCATTTTTGTATTTATGTCTTGTGTTACCTTTTGTATTTATTCTTAGATTGACATTTTGGGGACATCGTATACAATAACTACACTATAATTCATGAGGTTAAATGCAAACTGTGATACCTGAGTCCAATCTATTAAATTAACTGCTTTAGAACATTTTAAAACATTTTTTCTTAAATGTATCCCAATCCAAATAAAAGTGAAGAAACAATACTGAAATGCTCACCGGAAGACTTAACCAGAGCGATTAAGAAAATATAAAAAATAATATTTTAAAAACTTCAAGGCTACTTTATAGAGACAAAGTATCAGTGCTTTCGGATGACATGATTCTATACTTGAAAAAAAAACAAGAAAACCAACAAAAAGACTCTTGTAAATGATGACAGAATTCATTACAGTAAGCGGCTACAATATTAATATATACTACATGAACTGCATTCCTAAATACAAACAACCAGTTAGGGCAATATCATTTCTGGGAAATCAGATTTGACTAACATGATACCCTCCCTTCAACCCCTATGGAAATTGTGAATACACAGAACTACAAGATAAAATACAACCCAGATTTAAAATATAGTGGAGATCAAAAGAACAACAAAGAACTCCAAGAGTAAGAAATTAAAGAAAAATTTGGAATTAAGAGGTTATACTGTGGAAAGTTTGAGGGAAAAACCCAGGTCAGATATAGTCTCTAAGTGAGGCTTTAATACCCACACAAGAATATGAAATATGGCCTTCAGCCCATAAAACATGGGGAACAGAACTCAAATCTCAGTGTGAAGCCAAGGAGTCTAGAAAAGCTGCAATATCAGTGAATGTAGGATGAGAAAACTTTCTACCTACTGGCCAACAGAGCCAAGAAATTAAAAAAAAAAAAAAAAAAAGCTTGTGTGTGGAAGAGAGATGTAGAAGGGAGACTGGGGCGGTGTCGAGAGAAAAGAACCCAATGCCTGTACCATGTGCAGGTACAGGGGAGAGAATTCCCAGGACACTTCACCTTACAGGAATCCCTGTGAGAAATTCACATGAAACTTGCACTGGCTCCGGACACCTGCATGAAGCAAACACCAACTGTTTTGATGAATGCTTCTCCAACCCAGAACACACCTCTCTCCCCCAGAAAAACAATCCCACTTAAAAGAACTCCCAAAGAGTCATTAATTCTCTGAGAAAAAGGATCTCAGAAAACAGAACCCTGTAAAAGAAATAAAACAACTAAAATGATTAAGGACATGAAAGAAATGACAAAATGAAAAAACAACAGGACATTTGTTCTTAAGTAGAACTAAACTCTTTAAGAGGAAAAAATATAATCATTGAATTTAAGGGGGAAAAATTTCAACAAATGAGGTAAACAAGCAAAGTAGACACAATCAGAGAGAGAAAAAGTAAACCAGAGAAGGAAATTATCTAAAAATAAAACTTGTAAAATATGAAAAAGTAGTTAGAATTCTACACAATGGTAGAATGAGAAGGCAAATTTCCAGGAGAAAAAAGAAAGAATACTGGGGGGAAAAAAACAATATTCAAAGACAAGATTTCTGATTTTCAAGAATTAATTTACCATATAAGTCCTAATTCAAGAATTCCTGAGCAAGGGTTCTACACAGAATAAGTAAAAACAAGTCCCCATCAGTCCGGGGAAACTGTAGTGTGCCAAAGACAAAGAGAAAAATCTAAAAAGCTACCAGAAAAAAAGACAAATTATCTAAAAACAAAACAAAAAACTCTCAAAAACGATGACATTAACTGGAGACTGCATCGCAACATTAAAGAATGAAATAACAATCAAAGGAAGGAAAATGAACTGTCACATTGAAGTTTATACACAGCTT